CCGAAGAGGGTGGCTCAGAATCCTGTGAGAATGACAGTAGTCAAAGTGAGCAAAGTTTCATTGATACTTCTACAGATATCCAGTTCTCTGAACTTGTGAGAACTAGCAGTGGTCTCAAGGATGTCGTACAGGATAAAGTGGATGCATCTTCTCTAGAAGTTGATACCAGCGAGGTACATATTTGACAGATTTTGAAGAATTAGACAAGAAAATGATTATGTATAACATGGTTTTGCTTTATTTCTCAGGTTTTGACATCAGTTCCTTGTGTTCTTATAACTCCGAAGAGGAAACTGGCTGGGTGGCTGGCAGTTATGAAAAATGTGTTGCATTTTTCTGGGGAGTTTTTGGTGGAAGGAACTGGTGGATCAGCTGTCTTCAAGAACTTCAGCACTACAAAGGGTAGTGATGTAACAAAGGCTGACAATAAACAGAACCTTGTCAAATGGTCTTCACCATATGATAGTGAGACATTCCTAGATTTGGAATCAGGAAACAACAATAAGAAACCCTTAAAAAAGATTAAGCGCCACAGAAGATGGAAAATAGGGAAGGTAAAAAACATTAAACTACTTTGGCATATTCGTGCATCTTTTCAGCATATTTGATAACGTTTCATGGACATGCTGTTGATAGGTGAAAGGTGTTCACTGGACGCGGTATTTGCTTCAATACACAGCTCTGGAGATTTTCTTCCAGGAATCTGTACCGCCAGTCTTTCTAAATTTTGCATCGCAAAGGAGTGCAAAGGAGGTTGGGATGTTAATTGTTTCTACCAGAAATGAATTCCTGTTCCCAAAGAATGCTGCTAGGGACAGGACTGCAATTATTTCGTTTGTTGACAGACGTGTAGCGATGGAAATGGCAGAAACAGCCAGAGATAGATGGAGAAGGAGAGAGATTACAAACTTTGAATACTTGATGATTCTCAATACCCTTGCAGGCAGATCTTATAATGATTTGACTCAGTATCCTGTTTTCCCTTGGGTAGTGGCGGACTACTCATCAGAGACTCTCGATTTTAGCAAAGCATCTACCTTTCGTGACCTTTCTAAACCGGTTGGAGCTTTAGATACAAGAAGGTTCGAGGTTAGTATAAAGCAAGTATTTCGTTTCTGAGATTAGTGGCATGAATCTGTTACCATATGCCTTATTTTTTGACAGATTTTTGAGGACAGATATCACAGCTTCACTGATCCTGATATACCTAGGTACATTGCATGCATTTTTTTCTGTACTGAAGAAATACTTCCCCTCCTTGCACCTTAGTAATTTTTTTTATGCTTAATGCAGTTTCTATTATGGGTCCCATTATTCAAGTATGGGAAGTGTGTTGTATTACCTTTTGAGGTTAGAGCCGTTTACATCCCTTCATCGTAGTCTGCAGGTACTTGTTTCCAACTTTGACCAATAGCAGATTTCTGGAGTATTATAGACAATAATTGTGTTTTAGATTATGAAAAAAATGGTAAATACAAACGTATCCCCTAAATATCTCTGTCTGTGGTCAGGGTGGTAAATTTGATCATGCAGATCGTCTATTCCAAAGTGTTGATGGGTCCTTTCGGAATTGCCTGTCCAATACAAGCGATGTAAAAGAATTGATCCCTGAGTTTTTCTACATGCCTGAATTTCTGGTGAATTCTAACTCTTACCATCTTGGAGTGAAACAAGATGGTGAACCTCTTGGAGATGTTTGTCTACCTCCATGGGCTAAGGTATGCTTCTCATGCATATGATTTGCAGGGTAATTTGTAGTTGAGCTCTGAATTAGTTTGAATTTGGTCTAGAAACTGGATATGCAGTAACATATGTGAGACTCTTAAGAGTAATTTATTTACTTTAGTGTTTGCTACCCAATCTTGTAATATGTTAAACATGTTCATGAGGTGTCTTTGGTCTTTTATAAAGGATATCACCTATATGATTATATGATAATTAGCAAACTTAAGTCAAATTTTTATTTTATTTTGGTGGTGTGAGCTACGGAATCGTAGTGACTTTGGATTCCAGACATCCTGAATATATCTCCGTTGTTGCATTCTTTTACTGTTTTATCTCCAGGAGAACTTAGTAACAAATTATATATGCAGGGTTCTCCAGAGATGTTCATTGCTCGTAATAGAGAAGCCCTAGAGAGCGAGTATGTTAGCTCACATCTCCATGATTGGATTGATTTGATATTTGGACACAAACAGCGTGGCAAACCAGCTGTGGAGGTACTCATCAATTTTTAAAAACTATCTTATCTTGCCAGCTACTGGTGGTAGTTTCTATTTCATAGGCTTGTCCATTTTTTTGTTGACATGGTATTGAAGCTTCCAAATTGTTTTCGTACTAAAATAAAAACCTGAATTGCAGGCAGCAAATATCTTTTATTACCTTACATATGAAGGTGCTGTTGACGTAGAAAATATGGAAGATGAACTGCAAATATCAGCAATAGAAGATCAAATCGCTAATTTTGGTCAAACTCCTATCCAAATTTTCCGGAAGAAACATCCAAGGAGAGGACCACCTATTCCAATTGCACATCCGTTGTACTTTGCGCCTGCTTCCATTAATTTGACTTCTATTCTTCCCGCTACAACTCATCCACCATCAGCAGTTCTATATGCTGGTGTAGTGGATTCAAATATAGTTCTCGTTAACCAAGGTCTAACTTTGTCAGTCAAGATTTGGTTGACAACTCAACTACACTCTGGTGGAAATTTTACTTTTTCTAGCGCTCAGGTATGTTCAGTATCATTCTTTTGGTTTCTTTCAATTCAATAATCTTTTATTCGACTTCAGTTGATTCCTCTGTCATTGCAGGATCCATTCTTTGGAGTTGGTTCCGATGTTCTCTCCCCTCGTAACATTGGAAGTCCCCTAGCAGACAATGTTGAACTTGGATCACAGTGCTTTGCCGTAATGCAAGCGCCACTGGAAAATTTTCTGGTTTCATGTGGAAACTGGGAGAATAGTTTTCATATCATATCCTTGTCTGATGGACGGGTAGTCCAGAGCATCCGACATCATAAGGATGTCGTAAGCTGTGTTGCAGGTATACTCTTTGTTTTCTGTTTCATTTTCCTGGTTGAAGATACTAGTACTTTCTTAGAAATGATAATGTAGATGAGCTGCTAGCCAATATTAGATTTCTAGGATAGGACATTGAAACCTTCTGAGAAATATTCCAATTATGGTGAAGAATAACAAGAGTTGGACTCAGCCAGTCCCACAACCTATGTTCTTGCAGTTGTTTATTAAAATAGGATTGCTGTTAAACAGGTCTACACATTTCATGTTTTTTAATTTCCAAAGCTTCTGATTGTGTTACTGAATATATCATTGATCCTGCAGTGACTGCCGATTCGAGTATTCTTGCAACTGGTAGCTATGATACGACTGTGATGGTGTGGGACATTCTCCGCATTAAAACACCTGAAAAGAGGGTCAGAAATACCCATGGAGACACAATGCGGAAAGATATCGTCCTCGCCGATGCTCCTTCTCATATTCTTTGTGGCCATGATGATATCATAACCTGCTTATATGTCAGCACTGATCTTGATATAGTCATTAGTGGGTCAAAAGATGGAACCTGTGTGTTCCACACATTGCGGGAAGGAAGATACATTAGATCTTTAAAACATCCTTCAGGCAGTGCAGTGTCAAAGCTTGCTGCATCGCACCATGGACGAATTGTCTTGTATGGTGATGATGATCTTAGTCTGCACCTATACTCCATTAATGGAAAACATCTGGCTAGCTCGGAGTCAAATGGACGCATCAACTGTCTTGAACTTAGCAAGTGTGGAGAGTTCTTGGTCAGTGCTGGTGACCAAGGACAAATAGTAGTCCGGTCAATGAACACACTTGAAGTAGTAAGACGGTATAATGGAGCGGGAAAAATTATCACTTCTCTAACTGTAACTCAGGAAGAGTGTTTCTTAGCAGGGACAAAAGATGGAGCCCTTCTTGTTTATTCGATCGAGAATCCTCAACATCGGAAGAGCACAAAATCCTGATTCTATCTTATCATCTATATGTAAATTTATGTCCGATTAATCCATTGATTTAGCAATGGTGTTCTCGATTATGTGGCTAATCTTTTGTGTTCTGCAGAGGGGACTTGACACTTTTTCACTGCCTTGTAAATGTGCAATATATCTCATCTTAAGCTGTTAAGATGCATAGACGATATATAGAGAGGTGTTAATTGATGTAACATTACCATAGACAGACAATAGAGATGCTCTTGAAGAGGTAATACGATTTGTATACATTATTCCTCGATTAAAGTTAGAAAGTATACCTCTTTCCTATTGCAAGTATAACTATGAATTTCCAGTATTCGATTGCTTAAAGCAATGAAACTCTGACCAAAAATAGACCAGAATTTCCAGTACAATACTTAAAACTAATAAATCATTAAAAAAATTGATAGCCGCTTCTTAAGGAGAATTAATCCGATAAATTTTAAGCGCAAAAACTACGTGGGGTACCCATTTGGGTTGAGATCGGATGGTTTGGGTACCTATTAGGGTGTTCGGATATACCCGATCAGGTTCGGGTACCCAATTCATTTAGTATAAACATTCAATCGGATATTTTGTATGATTTACACCCAACCCAATCTGCTTACTTCGGGTGGGCTTGGGTTTGGGTTTCGGGTGTGGGTGCTTCTCAAAGAGGACGATTAATCCGATAAATTTTAAGCGCGAAAACAATGTCCATCCGAGTACCATTTTTTGTTTCAGAAATGTTACGAAGTTATAATCTTTTGGAGACATGAAAAAACAATATAAAATATTAAGTCAATAAATAATGTAAAACACAGATTAATACAAAGATAGGAAACATACACAATTATTATTTTGCAGAAAGTATGAAAGTTTTGTTTTACAAAGTACCACATAACATAGACACCAAACTAATTAAATTAACAAATACAAAAATAGATTATTTTTTTAAAAAAAAGAAAAAGAACAGTTTTAATTTTCATACGTACCACATTAACATAAAAACCAAAAGAATCCCCCACACTCAGGTCGCGGGATCACAGCTTCTTCATGTGCAACTTCATTTTTGTTGCAGAGTTTCTTGCAAGCATTCTCACATAACGGAAGAGTTGCCTTGTTTGAAATATTCATGCATTGTCTCGGGATACAATGCTTAATACACATATCCTTCTTGTTTGCATGTGTTGTTGAAACCATCATTGTAAATAAAAGTACAATCATCAAAACATTGCATATGTTTTTCATTGTTTGAGCCGCCATTATTTATAAGGTGAGATGAGTGTTGTTGGTGTTCAAGTGTTTTAAATGTTGTTTTGTGTTATATATCAAACAAATTTGCAAGAGGGATGATTACCTTGGGTTGGCCTTTTGTGGCTTATATAGTAAAACTAGTAGAGGTTGTTTTGGTTTTTTGGTTTGTTAGTTAGTTCGTCAATTGTTGTTGGACGTCTAAAAATAGTCCATCGCCTACCGTTTCATTTTTTTTTTTTGGCCATCCAAACAATAAATAATTCTACATTGAGTCTAACAAACTGTGATTCTTGTTTTTTCTATATTTAGTTTTATGTATGGTATTTCAAATTTCATTAAATCAATGTAGTTATATATCCGACTCGATGTTTCTTGTATAAATACGCCAAAACAACTAAGTTCATGGGAGTATCGTCTATTTTTCCTTCTGTTCTTATCTATGTGTTAGTTCTATTCACCACTTTTCAATACCCAAAGACGCAAGGCCAAATCATTTGTCCTAAGAACTATGAGAGATGATGTAGAGAATGACATATAAACAACGCACACACAAATTACTCTACATTACAAGCTTTCTAGTTTTTAACTTTTGAATATGTATCAAGGTGATCCACTGTCTCTGCGACTCCGCACCAGTGATTCCGGCAATGCCAAAAGTTCAGTTGACTCCCAAGTCCCAACAGCCATCTTCTTATACCTTACATGAAAATAAAAAAATGTCTCTGACATGACACTTCTTCGAACAGGGCCTAGGTTTTGTAAACCCAAAATAAATGGAAAGATTGATTGAACAAAGTGACCTGTGGTTTTTTTTAATTTATATTCCAATATACCAACGTCTGTACAATATTGTTGATATCTCTCTTTCTCTCTTAATTTACTTTCTTCTATTTTACCAGGGATAACAAAATTTGGTCAGAATGTGTATTTTACTCGTGGAAATCTTCGTATGGGGAAGATCCGCTTGAATAACCACTTTCAAATGCAGTGGCTTCTCTTGGAGATGATGGAAGTGATTCTCTTTGCTGAGATGTTGAACCTAAGAAGAAAAAACAAATCAAGAAGCTGAGTTAATGAACTGAGACTGACAATAACATTGCCGATGCAACATTTTCCCAAGAATCCTTAACTATCTATAGATTAGAAGATTGAATTTTATCAAGGAGGTCACTTTCTTGAACAGTCCTTATATGTATACTATATATAGGAATTAGTTGTACTGATTGCGAACAGCTAAATAGGGTTAAGAGGGTTTCTCATCACCTCTTTGGATCCTTGGACGGAATTTCTTAGTGTGCCGCCTGATGAGTCTTTTGGCTTTTGTTATAGTTAATTGCCGAGCAAAAGGAGAGAATTCTACGTCACTGTCACTCCAATCGCCATGGAAGTCATTCTCTGCTTCACCTCTCATAGTTCTCAAGACGAAAGCTTTGGCCTTGCGCCTTTGCGTATTGAAGAGTCCTCGAATAGAAGTAACGAAACCATCGCCTGCTCCATCACTTTGTCGCTTAAACCATGTGACTTGTTGTTGATCAGGTTTCCCAGTTTGATCATTGTCACTTAGATTCAGGTCATTGTCAGTAGACTCGCGATTGTTATGTGACTTGTCTTTGAACTTCTTTCCCTGAAAGTTTGAATCAAAAGAGAACTATTTAGCTTGCTTATCTTGTCCTCATAACCTCGACTTTATTCTAGAAGTACAATGTTTTAGATAAGAGGATTTATAAAGATTATATTCACGCAATACATTCCTGACCTGCATTCCAGTAACCGACTTCAATACTCCCCAGATTATGTGCTTCTTAACACGGGAAAAAAGCCTCCTCCAAGTCCCGGTAAACTCAGCACGATGAAATGTATCCATCAACAATTTGAGGTCGTTAACAACAAATCTTGAGCCCTCATATGTAACTAGAAGCTCCACCTGAGTTGAAATTATGTAAACTAGTTAAACCAACTAACCAATATCTGACATTCAATTTAAAGTGGTCGTAGAAATTAGCATACTTACCTGACTAATTTTAATGTTGTGAAACTCCATCATCCTTCTAGGCCTAGATTTCTTCTCCTCATGTGATTTACCAGCCTTCTTTTCTTCATGAGAAGAGCGGCCAGACTTGACAGGTTTCATCTCTTTGACCTTCAGTTTAGAGGAATCTTCCTGTTGTTCCATGGAAGATGACACAGTGCAAGAGTCAGCCTGTAGAACGAGTTCATTAGCTACGGATTCTGCCACATTTTCTTCCCAGCTCCTATCAAAAGAAGATGTTCTTCTCAACTCCTGAGCTGAACCACCAGTGCTAGACCTGAGGCTTAGAATATTTGATTTCTGCAACGAGAATTCAATAAAAATCAGAAAAAATAAGAATAACAGAGAAGACATTCAAAAACTTGGAAGTGAGACTAAGGTGAAAGCCTACTTGAACAGAGTCTGTATTGCTTTGTGACTGTACTGTAGCAGAAGCAGAGAGAGCTGCAGAACTAACTCGAGATGCTTCAACATCCCTAATGGCGTGGCTAGTTGTTCCAGAAGATTCATGACCTGCCAACCCTTTCTTTACACGCTTTGAACCAGCTGTTGTCGAAATTTTCCACACTTCCTGCAAGACACAAAATTAACCAAACAAGCCTTCGTATAAATTTAAGTTTTATCAGCTTTTCATCTACAGGCTAAATTGTGATATTATATGTGACCTGTCTCCTTTGTGAATCCTGCTCTTCCTCTGGGAAGAAATACTCCCACATCATTCTGTACATTGTCTCAGTCAAATGGATTCTCAGCGGATAAATCTCCACCTACAATATTTGCAGATATTATCAGACATTTACCACACACACAAAGGAAATAAAAGATTTAAAAGAGTCATACAATTCACTGATAGTTAATTATAATGGTTCCTTTGGGTATTTTGTATATTTGCAAATCCAGTAACGAGTGTTGAAAGAGGATACTTACATGGAAAAGCTCAAGTGGATAATGCCCATCTTTTGGCGCTCCCTGCTTTGCATCCACACGTAGCATAACTTTCCTGTACATATAATTACATCACTTCTAATGAAATTCAACTTCAACTCAAACATATGTGGAAATAACTACGAATCACACTCGCAAAGTCAGAACCAGAATCAAATAATGATTACAAAGTAACAAAGAGTTACATCATACTAAATTAGATATACGTTATATAAACTACTGTATTAAAAAATCCAGAAACAAAGGTAAAGTATGTAATATGGAAAACAACACTGTAGATGAGCATGTAAAGATAACGTACTTTCCCCATTCAGGTGGAGGATTCCATGCTGATAAAAGCATATCTGACTTTGCATTGGGTAGACAGTTCCTAACAACAAAGTACTTGGTGGTGAAGCGAGCAACACCAATGTCTTTGTAGTCCCGATCAAAGTCATATATCTGCATGAACAAACCCAATTTAATATGTACTCCTTTAAATTTAAACAGTCTGCCTACATGTAATAGACCAAATCAGTGATAAATTAAGTAAACCTAATGAAAGATAGTAGGCAAATTGCTCATAACACACCAAGATTCTTTTGATGGTATCACTTCAGAGGCATTGGACTAAGAACAACATAATGTATAAACGTACCATGTCATTTATCTCTGCCTCAGCAAAGGATTTACCATCTACAAGCATGCTCCAAACAACCTTATTAATTTGTAAGGAAATACACATAGCATACGAGGGGCTTTTATTCTTTTCCTTCTCCATTATTCGCAGCTGTGCAGCCTTCTGCAATGCCATTCTTAAAGATGCAGAAGCCGCCTTTCTAGACTTTTGTGCATATGTGAGCTCTTTTTTTAATCCTTGCACCTAAAACAGACCAGCAGAAATTACAACATTAACTTCATATTGTCACCACAAAATAAATGACACTTTCAAGAACAGACACATAAGCCAAACATAAACCTGATGCTTAGGAATAACAAAAATCTCTAATTGAATAGTTGCATGCACAGCCCACATTAGTTAATGAAACAAGTTAGAGACTTAGAGCAGTAACCAATGAATCATGAAGCAAACTTCTTTCCGCAGAGTCTTACCAGTATGGATCTTCTGGTACTAATCATCCACAAGTCACCTTCCCTTTCCATATGTGTGTCATCCACATTGTCAGAACAATGAGACAATTTTCTAATATCATCAAGAAGCAATTTCCGTTCTCGCTCTTTCTCTTCAAGGTTGATTTTTGCAAGTTCTACTTCTTCAACTCCGTATGGAACTACCTCATCAGCCTCCTCTTCAACATCTTCATCTTCAGTGGGACATTGGAGACTACTTTTCCTTGGCCTGGGTCATAAAAGGAATTCCTTAATGCTAGGACATATTCAAAAAAAAAGACAGAAAAACAAGAATTTGAAGTTTAGCCCTAATCATCAGCGAAGTGAAGGGGGTATGTAGTCTAAAAATTGTACATGTTTATTTCAAGCAAGTTACAGCAAGCATGAGAAAATGAAGAATAATGACATGAAAAGTGTGGGTCCCTTTAATATTATTCAGGTTTTAATCTCACTTTGGAAGCCTTGCAAAGAGAAGGTTTGTCAACACATCCAGCATAACTTGGAATTGCCGAGATGTCATTGTAGCTATTATATTGTGTGAATTGAAAGTGAGCTCTTTTAGTGGTTTCACCTGCAAATATATAAATAAGAATTAAATTACTTAGAAGAAAATAAGAATTAGGTTAATTCTCTGAAAAGACCCTGCAAAAAAAAAGAAACATATTTGCTTACTGACATGAAGGTATCAATTACAAGTGTACATTGACTATATTACTCCTGACGGCCAACACAAAAATTCAGTGATTCATAGAACCTTACTAGTTTATACGGAAAAAAATCTTCAATCAATAAATGTGAAGTTACATTGCTACACATGGCATACAGAGAACACCACGCCCAAATTAACTGCATGCCACTTTAAATAATCTAAAACGTATGCCAATTTATAGCATTTCGTTCTGTATATCATGGAAAAAGTAGGCAGAACAATCTATTGACTAGGTTGCATCTCCTTGCAGGATCCAATGCAGAAAATATATGACATAGTTTCAGAATTCTGTCATGATGGTTGCACTTTCAACGAGCAACTATAACTATTCTCCTATGCATAAGAAAGCACGAAATATGTCTCTGCAGACAATGTAATGAAATTTTAACCAAAAAAGGCACTGAAGGTATTGGTGTTACCTTTAGATCAGGGGTTCCACCTTTGTGTCTAGTATACCGAAAATACATGTCACAAGGCATGAAAACTCTTTCAAGTAGAGCCCCAGTACGCTTCACTTTTGGGGAGTTTCTGCGAATTTTTGGGAGCCACTGCAATCCAGCACCTGGGTCAACATCAGTGGGAGCTACATGGGCTTGTACATGCTCTAACATTACAGAAACTTCCATCCGTGTCCATGTCATTTCAGGACTACATTCTGGAATTTGGACACTTCCAGTGCCAAGAGCCTGCTCAATCACTTCCACACCAACACGCATAATGGAATTAAATGATCGTGCTAGAACACGACCACTAACAGCAGCTAGCAGAAAGCGACCCTGATAGATTAAGGTTTATCAACAAGTCAGTAACTCCTTTTTAAACCCAAGGAAAATTAGTTTGTTAACAATATTTACCATGTAGCTTGTTCAAATAATATATTTTTACAGTGTGAAGCTATAATCCATGCCAAGAGAAGTTTGAATGCAAGCTAGGTGGATTTAATCAGCCAAGAGCCATACTGTTAAACGCTAAAACATGTAATGATAAATGTGCATTCTTACGCATCAGTAATTACTTACATTAGCTTCTTCTGAGTGAAGATTAAACTGTGGCTCAATGACATTCACCATGAAGTGACGAGTCCCTTCTTCCTCAGATTCATTGGTCTCAACTATACCTGGTTATACATCCAGGTCAATATTTAATAAGTAAATTATGCATTGAGATCAACATAGCAAGTTCTCTGCCACTCTCCTAGATGCCATATTCTTTCTGAAAATTTCATTTTATTAAGATATTCCAGTAATTTGATAAAGTTTGAGAAACAAGACAGATAACGAACAGATGTTGACAACAACAAAAAAGACATACCAACTTCGTCATCTGATTTCTCAATTTTCAATGAGTGTGACGGTGATGAAGGAGGTCTAGCCATCTCCATAGGCTGAGAAGTTAGATTTCTTCCAGGGCTTGCCGAAGATCTCAACATTTCCCCTTGATGTGTTTCGGGACAGGATTCCTTTTGGTTTTCTTCATGAAGCTTCCTCTGTGTATATTGACGAGAAGGAGAAGGTTTAGGAGGTTCAAATGCTTTTGAAATTCCACCAACAAATGACCAAACAGCATCCCTGTTCTCTATCGTCCACAAGAGTTTGAGGCCATAAACAAAGACCCGCTGACAATTGTCAGCAATGACAACATTGTATCCGTCATCATCACTAGGATCTGATCGTATGTGTTCATCACTCTCACTTCCATTCTCAAACTCAGACCGCACATACGTCATCTCAAGATTTCTTCGTCCAGCCTCTTGCCATGCTAATAGTCTTTCAGGATCTGCTTTTGGGGCCTGCCTTCTAATTGTAAAATAATCAGAAGACAATAAAAACCCTTCATCCCGATGCTTCTCATCCCTCTTATGGTCCTTTCCAGAAGATACTCTGTCTATCAAAGCATTGTTTTTTCTCAAATTCTGAACACTTCCTGGAATGCAAGGATGCTGATCTTTGTTAATAAAAGCCTTAGGCACATGAAGGTCCAGACCCTGATATACAAGGTCAAGTGCATCCCGCTTGCATTCAAATGTATACTTTTGCTTCCCGCGACTATAGCATAATTCATATTTTAGCTTTGCCATGTTAAAGGTCAATCCTTTGGCAGGGTCATCAGAGTCCCAAGGCATGTACTTTATCACGGAAGGAGTGGCATCTACACGGAGCATAAATTCCGTCATTACCTTATCCATAGATAAATTTCCTGATCTTGCAGCTCTTGCGACTCCAAACCTAGGCCATCTGGAGAAAGAACGTAACTTGTGCGGAGGATAGTAATTCATACCCCAAAACTTAAGTATCCATGCCAAATCATGAGCTCCAAGATTCATAGTTGGTGATGCAAGAGGTATGCTGTCAGGCTTGTCTTGTGAAGTGTAGACAGTTCCAACGTCTGTTGGGTTCTCATTACCTAAGGAAGACTGATGGATTTTTTCGGGTCTAAGTGAGAAATTCCACCGAAGTGAGAGTGATGTTGATCTAAACGGATCAAAGACCTTCTCACGAGGCTTTCCTTCAGCTGGAAATGCATATAGATAATGATTCAAAGAATTCCCAGACTCACAATCCCAGTCCATTGTAACTTCGAGGTTAAAATCTGGGGCTTCAATAAATGCAGCCCCAGAGGCGTCGACGGGTACTTTTAAGGAATGTCGACTAATCAAACTCTCCAGACTGCTCAATTTTATCTTAAAATCTTTAGCATTGACAAACACACGACCATCTGACTGCTGGAGTTCAATAGGACCAGTCACTATTTGAAGTTTGTCTAGACTCTCATATGGATCCGTTGTAGCAAGAACAGACCACTTTGATTCAGAAAAAGATAAAGTGATATTGCCATGGACGTAGTTTCTCATGTCATCCCACCAGGGTAAGCTTCGTTCTTTTTTAACAACCTGTGCCATACCTGGATTCCTAAGACTCAGATTAGCTCTACGAAGAGCCACTGTGAAGGCATAGCTAATGTCTGCAAACGCTGGTTCATATCCAACCCCAAAGGAAACTTCTCCTTGTTCAAAATGTATACGCAGATCTGAGTAGGTCTTCAATGGCGGAGTTGTGCCACTGGCTGACCGGAACATTCGCACTTTTCTCCATCTTCCTACAAAGACATCTTGGGAAATTTGTGGCTGAAAACACGTTGCCTAGTTTAAGAAACAATTACAAGAAGTTAAATAATCAGTCAACTGATATCAACATTCATGTATATGTATATATAATACAGAAATGGAAAATTTAGCAATATACACCCATACCAAAGGCAGGGGATGGTGGGGAACATTTTGCATGCCTTATAGAATCTCATACTACATCTATAGTGATCAGAACTCCATACAAATGCACAGCTACAGATCTATGAAAACTTATTCTAGCTTTCAAAGAAGAAAATAATCCAAACAAGCATGCATTGGAAGACAAGAACGGAATATTAATCTCTTACTAATAGAAGCATTTGTGTTCCGCATGAATGGAGAATGAAGTGAGAAACAAATCATCTGGGGGAGGAAGCTAAATCTCAAACTACTAAATTTGTTGGATTTCAGAAATATATAATAACTAGAGCAGACCATTAAAACTAAAGGTCTCAGAATACAGATCAGATGCTACCATTAGTATGCCTTAGAATAAACAAAATAATCACAGAAAACATCAACAAAAAAAAAAAATCAACCACAAAAGAATAAACAATATACAGATGGCATGGGAAACGATAACACAAAATAATAATACCTGCTGTGCCAGCACAATACGACCTTCACATTTGCCAGAAGTGCCAGAGAGGAGAGGGAGTGTGTAATTTCTTAACTGAACAACCAACCTTCCAGTATTCAAGTAGACATTGCTTCCATATAACCGAGAAAAGGGTATGTCATTTTCTTGACAAATAGGATCAAGCGTCTTCAAAACTTCTAACAAACCAGCATCACCACCAGGAACTGCCGTCAAGCTTAAATCAAAATCTGTAGCACAAACAGAAAGAAGAGAGGTTCTAGCAGCACTTGGCTTAAAACCTGCCTGGAATCCTTCCCTATAGGCACCTGAACCCTCTGAGGGAGCTAAACCCTGGCATGCCTGATAATACGATTGAAACGACCGTTTATGAATCTCCTCTTTCACTTTGTTAATAGCTAAAGGATCCTCGACATCAATTTCAACCCCATCAAAACACATCATTCTTTCATCGGAAGCATCAGTTGTTTCTGCACCTTTAGGAGCCTGACAAGCTTTGTGAATAAAATCTTCAAGGAATTTCAATCGGACAGCCAACTCGCAGGCTTCTTTCTTTACCAACTGATAGTGTTCATCAAGCCAACCCTGAATTGGTTCTTCTTCAATATCTGCAGTTAGTCTACGTATGCAAAATCTTATGCGGCCAAATTTTGGACTAGATTTCTTAGGCTTTGAGCTTTCTCTCTTTCTTGATAAAATATTTTTTCCCTTTGCTACAGATATAAGTTTTAAGCCTCGCAACATCTCTTCAATTGAATCATCTATGGCACGCAACTGAAGTTTGTATGGCATACAAATATGCATGTCAAGCCCTTGTACAACCCAGTCCCAAGGACCACCTGTCATTACAGGAACTGCATCAGACAGATTCAAAGAAGCAGTAGGGATTCTTGATATTTGCATTCTCGTAGTTTTAAATACTCGAGATCCATTAAAAGCAAGCATAAGGCCCTCAAGAAGCACTCCTATACAGGCATTCTCAGAAAAAATTGATTGTGCCTCCAACGTAACCTCCACCCCATCTCCTACCTCAGCTGATATAGTTAACGTTTCCACATCAATAGCAAACACAGATTCCTTTTTCTTCTGCTTGTCAACAGAATTGGACTGACCACCATCTTTCACACTAGAGATGCCTTTATTGCACCCGCTTTCAGGTTCATTATGCCTCTGTCCATACACCAGGGATTTCAACCGCAAAAACAGTTCATAAAAAGATAGATGGACGTCAGGTTCCCAACCCAGTGAAATATGAGTAGCACTGAAGAGAGAACAGACATCAATATCGTTAAGACCACCGGATCGACGTACAAGCTTGGCTTTGTGCATATCAAACAATGTGACATTCGAACAAGGCTTATGCTCTTCCAGATACTCTTGATAGATGGATTTTGCTCTTTCAAGTTCCATTTGGGTTGAGTGTTTATCCTTGTTGAGACAAAAACTAAACTGTGATATTTCAAGAGAGACCGAGTACTTTAGTCTTTTACACGCTTCAGGAGCAGAAGAGAGAATGCTTGCAGTGCGGGGTGTGCCGTCAGCCAGTGAACTAAATGAAACCCGACCACCTTGTGATCCATAATTGACAGATTTAGGATCGTCAATAATTGTATTATCCAATCCTGTATCATCACAGAAATTTACACAGCAACGTTCAAGATTGAGGTTCACAAGCCTAGTTCCTTTCCCAGATGTTTTGGATGGTTGCACTCCGCCAGTCTTATTAGCTTTTTTGCCAGCAACAGATAATGTCTTAAATAGAGCTTTGAAGGACATAGCATTTGTTATGAGAGATTCAACACGCTTGAAAGAAAAGTAGATACCCATTCCAGTCACATCTACTGAGAGTACCAATTTACTTCTGAAACCAACCTCGTCAGATGATGTCCTATCTCTTCTTCCCCAATCCAAGCTAACCTTCGCTATATGCATCAACGAACCAGAGTTTGGCTCTATTCCGAAAATGTGTTCTTTAAAGCATTCTTGGTACTCATCTGCCAAATGCAGATTCAATTCACCAAGTTCAACATGAACTGCTGTGCCCAGACTCGAAATGTTATTTGCAAACACATGTGATGACTGCGAACAAAACTGCATATAAAACACCAAGAATCAAATAATGTTTAGCATTTAGTACACCAATTCATCTGTTGCGCAACAATATAAAGAGCTAAACAATCAAGCATGTGAAATGTATATGGCCCAATATCACAAATACAGTTTAACTTCAGTTAATGAATGAAGTCGAAAATTAACCAAATTATGTCATGGATAATAACTAGCACAAGATGCAAATAATGAGATGCAGCATGATACCTTTTGATTCATGTTCAGCCCCTACATATATACAAGCACAAGGTTACTTACATGATACAGAGGCAAATCATCAATACCATATAGCATAACCGTCATCTCCGGGGCTGAAACTGTGCCTGTCCACATGACGGCCTTCATATCAGCAGCTTTTGTTTTCTCAAGAGTGTGAGATTTTTCTTGCAGCACCAGTTTTTTCTTTCTTAAGAAATGAAGGCGCAGCCATGGCTGTAGCCTAGAAATGAATAGATTGGATCGGGTACCTCCTAGCTTTATATCAACTTCAGCTCTAATAGGCAGAACTGGCTGAAAAGAGAAGAGGTAGCTATCAAAATAATATGCAACAACATAAACTTACATGATTTAGAAAATAAATCTTAATCTAATGCACAGAACATATTTTCTGTTGGATATCATACAGGAATAAGGTACCTTCCCTTTCTACGATAGGAAAGAGATCGTCACGTATATTTATTAATTCAATCAATATTTTGGAGACTGAGCTATTGTTACCAACGTCAAGCAAGAACTAAAAGAGCCAATGGTCTCAAGGAAAATCGAGAAGTAAAACTACGAACAGAAATCTGAGTATCAGAGACAAATTATATATATTAACCTCCACTCAACCTGAAAACACTTCTCTCCATTATGAAAAGGCAAGGTACATTCCTTAGTGAAAGGTACACGGAATATTTAGCATGTAATGTAAAAGGTAATGAGCAGGAGAGATAAACTCAAAGTCCAAAACATGTGTACTTCCTATGTATTCTTCAACAGTTCCAGCATTGGTACTGAAAATTAACTGAAGCTACTGAAAACCTCATCGATGATGAACTCTCATATTTTGTTACAATCATATAGAAAGGCACACAGTGATGAAAGAAAGGACGGAAAATACAGCATTGCAGAAAGCGTGTAAATCGAAATTTAGTTGTAAAGAGACAAACAAATAGGCATCTTTCACAAGCAAGAGTAATGAGTCAAAATTAGAGAACCTTGAAAAATAGAAATGCAATGTCATGACTTTCAAACCTGAATAGGGATGTAGATGAAAGAGACCACATCAACTTTCATTATCTCCAGAATAGATGAATCAGCTTCCTTAAAAACCTGCAAAGAATCACGAGCGCATAGAATCAGCAGAAAAATAGTAAAAAATAAATATTGGAAATCAAATATCTGAAACAATTTCCATCAGACAAACATACATGAATCTCACTGAGTTCCATCTGAACATCAAGACGTGTACTCTCCCCTGTGTCTTCAAAAGATTTTGATTTAACACTTCTTAGATGAATTCCTGTGATGTTATTCTCAGCAAGAAGATCATGTTCTCGATTCACACATCTGACATCCAGTTTGGGTAAACTGAAGGAAACCTGCTCGGTATGACCAAACTGTCAATAGATCTTGGATGAATTCTTCTAATGCTTTAAGCTTACAAATCATATAAACAAAAGACACCCAAACCTAACAACCCAGCGAAAATGCGAAGAGAAATCAACAATAACCTAGAAATGATGGCTCAAATTAAGATAGTTAAGTATAAACGGTTTCCTTAAGACGTTTTTCTACAAAAATGATTCAAATATTATAACAACCAACTCACACTAACATCTGCTTTGCATATTGCTAGATGGATACGACCAAATCTACGCCAAAACCATTTATTTGATTGGGAATTCAATGGTAAGAAATTCAAACAAACAGATCCTTTAAGCAGCAGATCCTTTAAAACAATAGCATCTAGGCTGAAGGGTACTACACAAGAATGTTGTTATATACTATAAGTGCAGAAGAATTTCTGAAAGGAAATTATTAAAACTATCGCCAGCAACCAACTTAAAGAAGAAACATTAAATTGAACTTGATGAAGTTCAAGAATCTCTACTCTAACATACCCTACAGCGAATTAACTTTTAGTATCAGAGTAATGATTACAATATTGCAGACTCCCAGAACACACTTAAAAACCAAGGCCAACTAATAGAATAAAAATAAAAGTTACAAGACTCCGCAAAGAGTCACTTTCCATTAAGCCAACTGACCTTATCAGGAAATGACGGAGAATACTTAGCTAGAGCTGCCAGCAGCTGATGCTCTTTATGGGGTTTCTTGGCAAATGAGGCAGCAGTCACTGACGTTCTAACTTCATCTGAATGAGCTGAAGCTGATGATTGTTTGCTCTTGGGAAATGAATCCTCGTCAAAATTCAGAATTACATCTCCGGATATAACTTCCACATTTCGTAAAACAATACCTACTGCCCTAAATTCAAAAATTAAATTAAAAATTAAAAAAAAAAATAGTACCAGCAGTGAGCAAACCACTGATGCAATATAGAATTATTGTCTGTAATATAAGGGCACAGCCATCTTTAAGGTCACAGAGAATTTCCTAAATTTCCTAAGACAGTCAACAAAATTCATCCATTTAAAGAGGATTTACTTCACGTAAGAATAAGATACCAGTGACAGTACCTGTCATGTCCAAACTCGGAAGAAAGAGAGAGCTCATCACAAAATAAAGCAGCAGAGGATCTGTCAAGAGAGGCTGAGACTTGGGAGGCAGGACAACTTTCAAAGCTTACATTAGATGACTGATCAGAAATTATGCGTGATTCACATAAATGAACCAGAATTGGTAGAACATTTAGCTTAACATATAGGTTTGGTTTTGTCCCACCATCCTTATTTATATCCAACTTCAGCTCCTTGACTTCCACAATCACCTTTGGAGTCTGCATTTCACATAGGTTATTAGAAATTTGTTTCCAGGGAAGTCTCTATTCAAGAGAAATTAAAGCTCAGTCTGGAATGTGGACTCAAATCAATTACCTTCACAACCATATCTGCAACAGAAACTGAAAGAAACCTTGCAACATTAGCCACCACCATCCACTTTCCCCTGCCTGAAGTTCGAGATTTCCGACTTTTAGCTTTCTGTAAATTTGTTGTTGAACTTGAGGACCTCATCACAACTTCAAGATCAGATATCAACACTTGCACTTTTGGATCTCTAGAAAGAAAACCAACGCCAAGTTTGACCAAGGACTGGCGTAAGCTTAGTTTAATTTCACTGGCAGACACCGACTCAATGGCACCCTGTAAAACACTCAAATCAGCAGCAAGTCACCTTGAGATCAACTTTGTTGCCGAAGAAATCATTAGCAAAGAACTATTTTCCCAGTGACCAGTGGAACACAATTAATCATGTCAATGATATGATTACAAACCTACGGTACCAATCCCAAGAAAGTTAAATGTAAAAAGGATAGGTGTAATCCGCTACAGTGATATGATACAAGCTTCTACAGGAAATACACTACATTGATCTGGTTCAAGCTACTACAGAAACACTCTCTCTCAGCTACAGAAAAGACACTACATCCACTATTGATCAGATGACACTCACTACATTGATAAGACTCAAGCTTCTACGGAAACATTCTATCTCACCTACAGCAAAAACACAACATCTACATATGCCTGACCTAATTTAAACCTCTCTCAGCTACAGAAAAAGCACAACATCAACTACATTGATTTTAAGCCTCTACAGAGACATTAGTTCTAAGCTACAGAGAAAAACACTTTAAAGTCTTCTCTCATCTCCCTTGACAAATAGAAAGTTCAGAGAAAATTTCCAGGTCAAGTATAGTGCTGACCTTCTTAAACTTCACCACAACGTCCTTAAGGCATTTCCAACCACCAATACGAAACACAACAGATGCTCCCAGCACTCTACTAAGCATCCAGGCAAACAACCTGGAACAAAGTCTGCACGTAAACTGGAACTATAAGCCACCATTTCACACCACTAGATCAAGTCGATTACAGCAAATAAATCATATAATAAACTACTTCGATTTGAACTGTATTCATCAATAGAACTAAGATCAACCACAAAACAGGAGCAGGAATAGGGACTCACATGAAGATCATCCACAGAACGATGGAAACAATCAGAAACCCGAAGAAGAACTTCGCAGGTGAAGCAGCCATATCTACCACCGCCGCAGAGAGAGAGAGAAACTAACTCCGCCGGGATAAACTAACAGAATCCTCACCCACCGGCGGCACTAAAACAAACGATTTCAGAACAAAACACCATCACACTTGCCAAGTCCGAGGGAATAAACCCTAATCGTTTCAAAATCAGTCAAAATTGTAAGACTACAGAGCTGCTTCCATGGAAGAAAGATCCGATCCGCGAGATTTTTTAGGAGTGTGATCGCTAGAGAGAGAGAGAGAGCTGAGGAGGAGAGAGAGAGACTGTTTGGCTGGTCTGATGGATGACCATGTGTGACTGGTGACAATGGTCGACGGAGTAAGGTGAGGATCTGGTGCGGTTAGGTGTAGCGTAGACTCGGTGGTTTATTGGGTAAAAACTTTTGAGATGTCTTTTTGTACTTTAGGGAAGAGAGTAAATATACACAACTGTGTCACTTTGGGAGTCGGATCATAGAGAGGTCAGAGAGCTATAAACCTGCTTTTAGCTTCTAGGTGACTCTTTAGTCAATTTATTATCTTCATTCTTCTTTCTCATCTCAAACTAATTAAGTAAAAATATTAATTACTGGAAAATTCTCCCAAAGAAAAATTACTTCAATATTAACTAGAAAAATACATAAACTTTTATTCTAATTTTATTCTTTGTTAGAATATTAAATAAACTAATTTAATGTTGGTTAAAAATATATGTACTCTTACTTTTTAAAATTTTTATTTTTACTGTAACGGCGTTAATAGTGTGAATAACGCTATTATAGAAAAATTTATGTGTTTTTGTGGTAAATATTAAATTAACATATTAATGTAAAAAAGAATATAATTTTTTCTTTAAGTAAAGAAATTTGTGTGCAATAACGAATACGATATTTTTAAAAACGGTTTTTTTCCTGAAAACGGTGTTATTGTGAAAAATGGTGTTTGCATCCTAAACCTTTGATTTGTGAAACTTCTGTTTGCAATAACAAATTTGTTAGGATGCACACAAACTTCTCAAAACGGTGTTTTTGTGAAAAATTGAAACACTACAAAAACTAAACACTTAAAGAAAATAGTGTTTTCTTACAGCAAAATAATAATAGTCTCTTCTTCCTTTCTGAGCTCAATCCGGTGAAGAAATTACAATCAGCAAATTGAGACTAACTTAATTGGACCAATATAACTGAGCAAACCGAATACGATATAAAACTAAGACCATGCATAACCGAAATAAACCGGAATAATTTCGGTTCGGATCCATTTTCACCAACCCGAATCAATTGAAACCCGAAAACTTGACCCGAATTATGAACACACTCTCAAAACTCAAAACAGTACGTTGAACTGAAAAACTCATTTCGCTCAAGACCTTTGCAATCCCTAATTTCTCTCTCTGTCGAAGCTCTCCGGGGAACAAAAATGGCGGATTGTCCGATGGATATCATCAACGATTTGTTCCTCCGTCTCGCAGCAACTACGCTTGTACGTTGTCGCGTTCTCTCGAAGCCATGCTTCTCTTTGATCGAAAGTCCTGATTTCATCTCATCTCACCTCAGTCGCAGACTCGAAACCGGAGACCATCTCATGATCTTACTCCGCGGACCTCGCATTCTACGTACGGTGGAACTCGACGCGCCGGAGAACGTCTCAGACATCGACCACCCTTTGCAAGCCGGAGGTTTTACAGAGGTTTTTGGTTCTTTGAACGGTGTCGTTGGGTTATTCAACTCTCCCGTTGACATGGCTCTGTTAAATCCTTCGACCAGGAAGATTCACCGGTTACCGATTGAGCCTCTTGATTTCCCAGAACGTCACATCACTCGTGAGTATGTGTTTTACGGTTTGGGTTATGATTCTGTGAGTGAGGACTTTAAAGCTGTGAGGATTCTTCAGTCTAAGTTTAAAGGAGGCGTAGATAATTTTGGTTACCCTGTCGAGATAAAAGTTTTCAGCTTGAAGAAGAATTCGTGGAAGAGAGTCTATCTTGTTTTTGAGATGATGGGTCTTTTCATCTATTTCTATTATCATTTGTTGCCTCGTCGTGGATTTGGTGTTGTTGCTAAGAATCATATTCACTGGATTTTGCCTCGGGAACAAGGAATCATCGCCTTTAACACGATAATCAGATTTGATCTTGCCTCTGATGAGCTTGGAGTCCTAAGTTTCCCACAGGATCTATACATGGAAGATAACATGGACATAGGTGTGTTGGATGGCTGCGTTTGTTTGATGTGTTACAGCGAGTTTAACCATGTTGATGTTTGGATATTGAGGGAATATGAAGATATAGAATCTTGGACTAAGATGTTTAAGGTCCCGAAACCAGAGAGTGTTGAGTCGTTTGACTTCGTGAGACCTATGCTCTATTCCAAGGACAGGAGCAAGATTCTGATGGAGATTAACAACGCTAAGAATCTCATGTGGTTTGATTTGGAAAGTAAGAGTCTTACAGCTGTTGGAATAGAGTGTGATAGTTCGTTCACTGCAGATATCCTCGTGAGTAGCCTTGTTTTGGGATGTAAAGGAGATCCTAATGAAGCTCAGCGTAGGAAAGATCAAATGATGCAGAAGAGTAACAAAAAGGGGTATGCTCATCTCTCTAGCCAGTGTTTTCTTACTCGTTTTGTTTCCTTAATAGAATTGTAGAAATGATAATAAGGAAAATCTGAGTCTTGGATATCTTCATTGTTTGATATGGTAAGGTTGCAAATGGTTAACTGTATTAACATCTTATGTTACAGTCTCAGGGGTGGTTTTCTCTCCAAGGGATTCAAGCTGAAGTTATGAACAAAGCAGGAAACTTCTGAGCCCAAACATTAGATCAAGGTAAGTGTAATGAATCTAATGATATGAGTATTTCCCTCAATTTGGTATTTTTCTTAGGCCTCATCTTCTTTTCTTTTCAATGTGAGATTCTAATACATTATTTTGTGTCTTACAAGGTGGAACTTGTGTCAACGTCATACTTTTAACATAAACAAAATAACAGCTTCATCCAAAATCTGACTATTTAAGCGTTTTTGAGTTTGAAACATGTAGATGCAATCTTGATCTCTGTTTTATTTTCAGGTGCAGTAGCAGTGACTGTAGCAGTCGCAGGGGTAAAAGGAAATGGCAAAATCCTAAAACCCATATAAGGACTTCGTAATAATTAGCTTAAACATGTGTACGTAGTAGGTCGTAAAGGAAGATACTCTTCTTCTTTGTGTAATTGACTGGAATCTATATTTTCAGTTCTCTCAATCTCAATCAAAAGTAAATCTTGTTGCAAATATTGTTATTGAAGAGGATTTTAACTAGAGAACACAATGTTTAAACAACATCGTAGTCTATAGCCTCTCCATTCATGTTGAATAATGTTGTTCATTCGGAGAATTTTCTTAATCTTTTTTATAAAAAAAAAGATTAAAACATCTTCATAAAAGTACGTAACACAACACTAAACCAAAAACCATTTTGTTTATTTTGTTCCATAGGTTGAGTTGATATTCCCTTTTAAATAATTGAAAACAAAACAAACAAAGGACTTGAAAATAAACGCAAGTTTTCTTAGTTAAAAAGCATACACCATGGACCTTCTTCAGTTCTTTTTCTTCATCTTCTTCTTCTTCACCTCCACACTTCATTCACTTTCGCTTGGTCACCACACTCCCTACTAAGAAACCGAGCATCCGAAGGCAACCAGTCCAACAACTTCCGCTTGTGTGGACAACTAGTAACATGAGTGGTAAAATTTTCAAACCCTTGGCCATGAATATTGTCGGAGCATACCGAGCAAATCCAGAAGGCAGATTCACTCGTTTCACTGCACTTATCCTCCTCAAGTACTCCTGAATCTTCCTGGAAAAAGCCTTCAAGAGAATAAGATGGAACCGGCTGAAGAATGTTGTATCCCCTCAATTCTAACCGGGAAGCATAATCAGAAGCGAAGGACTTTGCGTCGGATATGACCATTATATTAGCTGGAGGTGGATTCTTAACGGTAAACTCACAGATAAGGCGATCTAAAGTGGTTGAAAACGTAGAGCCTATGATATTAAGGGCTATTCCACTGGCATAGACTTCTCTAAGGATCTCACTAGGGACATCTGTTAGTACGCCAATTGCAGTGATGGTGAGAGGACCAGAGTAGCCTTTATTCTCTAAAAACTGTTTAATACACAGACCGACCCGACGAGGAACACAGCCATGTGGAACTGGACACTTCTCAATGTCCCAAAAGACTGATGTTACAGCACCCAAATCTTTCTCATGAGGCTCAGTTAGTGGTGAGCTTAAGCATTGGAGTTCCTTACTTATGGGCACAAACTCTGACACCTTTTGTTGATGGTATGTACTAGAGAGATGCATGGTGATACATTCAAAGTCTTCGGAAGGAAGACTACGGTAATTGCATACTGAGCAGATAAATATGGCAGGTTCACCTGTTCCACTGCTCTGAACCTCCTCAAGTCCCCCTGAGTCTGCCGGACAAATTTTCTCAAGAGAAACATTGGGAAAAGGCTTCAAGAGGTTGCATCTCGATGGTAGAAAGTTAGAATCACAAGCAAAGATTTTGGCATTGGATATGACCATTATGTTACTTAGAGGACCAGGCCTATTGGAACATTCAAAAACAATCTTCACAGTGTCTGAAGGACCATATGGGACGTTCTGAAGAGTGATCCCACTAGAATAGACTTTTCCTAGAATGTCATTAGGAACGTCTGTTAAAACGCCAATGGCAATGATAGTGACATCATCAGAGTAGCCTTTTTTCTTCAAGAACCGTTTGATACACATACCAACCAGCCTAGCATCAAAGCCAGGGGGAACAGGACACGAATTGATGTCCCAAAAGACCAATGTCTTCACATCCTCCCAGACTATTCCAAAAGGTCGTGCAATGTTTGTCAGCATTGCTTTACCCGGCGAATGCACCTTACAGTGTCAACTGAAAGAGTAGCCATAGCATTCCTAGCCTCCATTTTCATCGCGCGATAAAGACTTTGATAATGTTCTTCACTAGATAAATGAGCGATGAGATTTTCAAAGCTTTCTTGAGGATCATAACGGCCACATACGAAGCAATCCCACAAAGCTGATTGCCTCGTTTCCTCTTCCTCAAGTACCTCTGAATCTTCTTCTTCCATAATTAAGCTTTCAAAAGAATAAATTGGAAACGGCTCGAGAGTGTTATAGCCAAACATTTTTAGAACGCTAAATAAACCAGGGTAGGCTTCCCTGGACGATATGGCCATAAAATTAGTTAGAGGTAGATTTGTATCAATTAGGTCCACAATGTCTAAATGACAAGGGGTGACGATGGAAAGAGAGATTCCACTGGAATAAACTTCTCTCAGTATCTCAATAAGTACGTCCGTTAGTTTTCCAAAGGCAGTGACTTTGAGAGGACCTCTGTAGCCATTCTTCTCTAGAAACCGTTTAATACAAGGAAGGACCATACGAGGATTATAACCATCGGGAACATGACACTTCTTGATGTCCCAATTGACCAATGTTAAAGCCACTGCCTCTTCCTCTGTAGCCTTCTTCATCATTCAAGAAGACTCGATATCAACTAGGACGGTTAGGGTTTCGAAACGGGTATATATACTACTTATTTGCTGATTAGGGTTGATTTTGCGTTATACTCTTAAACACGAAATCTTTTGGGCCATATTAGACCGACCATGTCATTTAATAAGCCCAAACATTTTTTATGACCGTTAGTGATATTTTTTGTTTATTTATTCTGATTTTGAATAATTAACGCTCTATTTCGAAATCGAAGGAATCAGAGAAACAAAACCCTAACTTCATTCTTCATTCTCTCTCTCTCTCTCGCTCTCTTACGTTTGCCCCAAGTTCTCTATGGAAGCAACAATGGAGGAATCAATCGGTAGTGATGATTGACTGTACTTGTATGAGTTTGTGATGATCGCAATGGTTCGATTTTAATCTATGGAGAGACGAAGGACGAACAGAGTTCTGATTTGAATCGGTAGGTTTCTTTGTTGTCAAATTTTGTTTTTTCAATCGTTTTCTTTTGACATTTAGATTCTGTGATTGATTTCAAATTTGTGGATTTCATAAGAACATAGTTTAGGGTTTACTAATTCTCTGATTTTAGGAAGCAAAGTGGTAGAATTAGGAATTGGATTCTCAATTTTACATCGTCGGTGTTTTGGTTTTAGATGCTAGGGTTTCAAAACGAATTGGGCGTGTTTCAGATCTCTGGTTTTGATTTGTGGTTCTTGTAATCACTTCTATTTAAAATACTTCGTCTTCAGAAGATTACACTTTGTGTCGTCTTCAGAAGATTACACTTTGTGTCGTCTTCAGAAGATTACACTTTGTGTTGACTTCATAATCGTTTAAATTGATTGAACAATGTCTTTCTCTGACTTGTGTAGAATGCTTGACATAATGAATTTTTTCTGTGTTTGTTTATATCTGATTCGTAGAGAATCCTATGTCTGAGATCTATCAGGTTTGTCTTATTGTAACCCATTTGTGTTATGAAAACAGAGGAATTTTAGTGGAGCAATATAGATTAGATGGATTTAGAGTACAATGTTCTCATTGTGGATCCTTATTCACATTTCTCATTTGGCTTACCCTTTGTATCACCTCGTTGTTTGTTACTTCTCGGTTTTTTTCTCTCTAGAAATATATTGTATGCCTTTCTCTGTCTTCTTGTTATAAACATATGCCCTTGTTTGTTGAGATTTCTCAATGATGACATGTTTTTTAGAACATGGTTATCTTGCTTCGTCATTACATTGTATTCATATGATTGATGATGGATTATTATAAATGTATCTATAGAACTGACCATTTCTTACTGTTGAAGTACATATGTTCTCTTGAAAATATTCTCATGTTACTTTTATAGTTTAATGCTTTCTTGTTGCTATTCTTGTTATGTTCTGATCATGGTTATTGTAATTCAGCCACAGTTGAATGAAAGCTTAGATGTTGTTATCATGTAAAAAAGCTTGTCTCAACTCATCTTACGAGTCTTATGAGTCTGTTTCCAATGTTTGTGCTCATATCATTTCGAGCAAATTGCTACCTTTAAACGTTTTATGTTTTTAAAAGTTCTAAGCAGGACTGAGTTGGTGAGAGTAATAAGTATTGGTTAGTGTCTTTAGGTAACTTGGCCTAAGATAGTGCGTGCAATTCATGTTTACACTTGTGATTCTTTGTGTAACATTATTCATTTAAATTGTAAATTATGAACATCTGAAAGCTGCATTTAATTTATTTTTTTGTGACATTCAAGTTTTAGTGGTAATAATTGTTATTGTATGTTTTCGTTTAAGTGTTGTCATGTAGGTAAACTATGTAACAGCTAGCTAAAGTTTGGTCTTATAGTTGTGTGTGCTTACTATATCTGGTGTTCACACTACTGATTGAGCATTGTCTTCTCTGACTTGTTTAAAATGATTGATATATACAATCAGTTGTTACTGTGTAGTTTATATCTGATCCTTAGAGAAGCTTATGTATGAGAGATCTTGCCAGGTTTGTTGTGATGCTATCCATCTTTGTTATGTACACAGAGGAAGTTATACATGTGCAGTAATCGAGTCTTCTCTGACTTGTTTATATCTGGTTCTTAGAGAAGCTTATGTCTGAAAGATCTCGTCAGGTTTGTCATGATGCCATCTTTGTTATGTAAACAGAAAAAAGTTGTTCTCACTGTGAATTATATTCCTTATTGCTAAGTTACTTCCTTTGTTTCTTTGTTTCTCTTGAACTTCAAGACTTGAAGTATATTATGTGGTACTTCTCTTTTGCATGTTCAAGCTCTCTTCGTTATCTTTTTTGTTTATAATCTTATGCTATTTTCTTTGAGATTTTTCAGTGATGGAATGTTTTAGAATATTTTGATGTCTGAATCCTAGGTATGCTTAATTAATGTATATGATTATGATTATGCAGGTATATATTGGATTTTGTATATTCTGTATGTGATTTACTATGGGACACTATTTGATAACTGAAACCTGACTGTTCGTTCGAAGTATGTGTTTTAGTTTGGTTTTTGTTATCTCTTCCGAAGTAACAAATAGATGAGTCAGTAAGCTAATTTTGTTTTTGGTCAGCTGGTGTAGCTTAGCCAAAGAAAGACTAATACCCAAACAACAAAGCCATAAAAATAACTATCAAACAGAGCTAATACAAACAAACCAAAAACAAAGAGTCAAAGCTTCTTTTGTTTATTTGTCTATAGTTTTAAGTTAACTAGTTTTGTTTTTAAGCTTGATCACTATACTTTTTAGGGTCTGAATGGTTACTATGGTCACAATGGAAAATCCATCAATGGATTAAACGGTTATATTTTTAGGGTGGACTATAAACCGACTCTATTTCTATCTAAGGACTGGATAGCCCAAATTTCTTATGTGTATAGGGAGGCTAATCGTCTTGCGGATGGATTGGCGAACTATGCGTTTTCTCTACCTTTAGGTTTCAAGTTTTTAGATTATTGTCCCGGTTGTAACGCTTTATTTTTTGGACGAAGATGCTCCTAGAATTGGGATTCCTCGACATGTTCGATTGTAGTTATTTTTCTTGAATAAATAAAGAGACAATAGTTTCCTCTCTTCCACCAAAAATAAAATAAAGTACGTGGTTGGTCTGGAGCGGTTTCTTTTTAGTTTTTTAGTTTCGCACCACTGGGGTCTGTTCTCTTTGTGGTTTTGTCCGCTTTAACCACTGCCACCATTCTAACCCTCGTGTATCATGTGTCTTTGCTCTGTTTCTCACTCTTTTGAGTATTCTCAAAAATATGAATTAAATCTAGAACTCTTATATCCATGTAATTCAATAATTTAAACATACATATAAAAATTAATATGCTGTAGAAAAATTAAAGTTAATTTTTGAAGTTTTAAAGTCAAGTTTCTCTTAATTAAATAAAGCTCCAAAAGTTATGGAAGTCATATAGTTACCATTTACTTAATTTATCTCTATCGTTTCACCTAATTTTTCAAAAGTGTATCATGTATGCGTCAACAACGTAAGCAACCGCGTACGGCGTATCTATGTATTCACTACAGTTGACTAATGAGAAGAGACACTGCTATAAGACCAACATTATCAATGGGATCTTAGCTCATTCTTAACTTAATATTTGGTATTTTTTTATTTAATTTAAATGGTAAATGATGATTTATGCTAAGATCTGGATCTTAATTAAGATCTAAAATTGTGGCTAAGATACGACATGTGTCAATGGACGATTGGTGGAAGGCTTTCTCTTCTTTTTTTTTGTTATGTGTTCTTATTCAACATTTATCTTTTAATTTCTTTCGAAAATCTATTTTCTTGTTTCATGCTTTAATATTTTAATTTTAAAAAATTAAAACATTGGAACTATTTAGGACCTTTTAATTTAATGTATTTTAGATTGACTTAACTTTTTGTAAATGTTGTTCTTGTTATGCCAGTATCAACCTACCAATACCATCCAATAAAAGTTTTTTTTTAAAAGTTATAATCTAATTTGGTTTCTTAAGACTCTTGGAAAGTCTAATAAACATTTGAAAAATTTTGTAATATATGTTGTTTTTTACTCATTCTCAAATATACAAAAGAACTATTAAAGGGTTAGTTTGTGTATGGAAGTACTTCTTGTCGATATGATGGCCACTAAAACTCGCTTTTGTGATCGAGCTATGCATACAAAATTATAGAAGGATTTGGTCGAGCATATAAGGACAAAATTTTCTAAAAATCAAGTTTAAAACTATCGTGCTTTATGTTATTTATCTTATAAATTGTATCTCATTTATGTTTTAAATTATAAATTTGTAATAATTATAAAAGTTTCTAAAATTACATATTTTAATTTTATTTAATTTTTTTAAAATTATTTTTTGCTAAGATCTCCAACTTAAGATCCTACCAATAAAGACATCTCAAAACAAAAAACAAAAATACAACTCTTAACATTTACTTTTTCAAATTTAATAATAAATTAATCATAAGATTAAAAATTAAGATCTGATAATGTTGCTCTAAGAGTTTATAATAATTTATAAAAGTAAACTCTATTAGTCGTATTATTCTATAAATAACAAAGAAGTTTCACTGTTAACTACCCAAAAAGGCAAAAGCAAACTGGTTGGCAACAAAAAAAAAACTAATAACAACCCATAAGCTACTAAAATAACCCATAAAATATAGTCAACTAAACAAAAAGGATAAAGTTGAGAAAAACTGTAATTATTCACTTGAAGAACGTATAAAAAATGATACCAGAATTAAAAAAAAATCTTATCTTTAAAATCCAATTACTTTCTATTTTTAGAACATGTCTTTTATTATTATTTTTTAAAATTTTATAATTAATAATTAAAAGCTGTTGCAAAAATCATATTACAGTATTTGCTGAAAAATAGTCTTATTTAAGCCTTTGAAATTTCTAAATCCGTAAGTAATACTCAATCTTATTCAAGTATTCCAAAATTCATTTTTTAAAAGCAACGATGGTAGCTTTAGAATTTCGAGCTTTCTAAATCAGTAAGTAATACTCAAAAAAAAGCAACCAAATAAAAGAACAGAACAATGTGACAATGATGATACCAGCAAACCGAACAAAAACAATCATTTAAAATGACTTCCCATGCATCTAGTCAGCTTTAAAAAACTGAATTTTGGAATACTTACATATATAATTTCGTTAATCCTAAATATTAATCGTCACTTGTTCATATATCACCAAGGAAAATGACTTTAAACAAAACATATAGATCTACATGGTCTTTCTTTAATTTATTCTATAGCAGCAGCAATGGTCCAAATTTTAGATATGTTTCCTTTTGGATGTGATCATACCAGCACTAATATACCAGATCCCATAATTCCGCAGTTAAGTGTGTTTGGGCGAGAGTAGTACTAGAATATGTGACCTCCCGGAAAGTTCTCGTGTTGCATCTCTTTTAATGACTTTTTCAAAAAAGCAATGCACTCCATAAATTTTCTTTTATTAATTTTCATGTGCATGCGTCTAACAATATAGGTCTTATTTCGAAGAAAAAGTATAATTTTCGAAGAAAAAGTATAATTTGTTTTACAGTAACTTTAACTGTTTGTTATATTTTCATATTAGCTAAATATATATTTTGGATTTGATTGATTACGAGTTACGATGGTAGCTTTAAAATTTTGTCTGTAAATTTTGAACTGTGGAATTTTTGGTCGTGGCTGTAGATTTTATTGATCTTAGTATTTTGGGTGTATGAATTATTTTTTGAAAATCCTAAAAATATGTGTTTTAAGAAAAATGGTTTTGTACAACCAAAAAAATAATTAAGAAAATATTTTGGCTGTAATTAAAATTTGATTGCTTTAGATTTGTAGCTGTGAAAAGACGCGTCAAGCAAGAGTCTTTACTTCTTTTTTTTTTTTTTTTTTGTCAAACAAATGATCCATTATCCATTACATACATGTATAGATGTACTTTATTTGTCTGTTATATATGAAGTAAATTCATCTTCATCATGTACATAATATTACACCGACGACATGATAATTTTGACGTATATATGAAGTTCAATAAGTTCAATATATGAAAAGTGCAATCCTAACGAAAGACATTAAAGCAAATAGTGCAATCGAATCACAGAAAGTTCAATATGTGTCGTATACTTGTATTCATTATCATGAATTTTACAACTCATTATACGCACGAGCCTAACTACATAATCTGAGTGTATGAAGCTCTCTAAGATAAACACAAATAAGTTTTAAGATAATGTTTATCTCTAATTAATGAAGTATACCCCATGCATAAACATATACTAAACAGTATTTCTAGGTACTTTCTGTTGGTTTGGTAGCTAAAAAAACAACTAAACTTGTTTAATAATGATATGAATATGATGAATTTTTGTGTCAAGTGTGCTTTAATATTCTTTTTTGAGAAAATACGGTATTCAATTTTTGAGAAAATAGCAAATGACAACACTTCGACCGCGTAATAGTACTACTATTACAAAATGACCGTAACACTATTATTTAAGCTCTTGCCACTAGCTAGCTAGCTACGTCAATCTTTATTTAGGGTCACTTGAACAATGAATAATGATTTTCCTACACCAACATTATTGTATACGGTTATATATGAAATTTAAAATGTATAAATAGATAGCTAGATGAACGTTCTTATTACTCATTTTGTAGTAAGATTTCTCCACTACTAACTTAAAAGTGAAACCTCTTTGTCAACTCCCAAAATTTTTCTATTGAGTATTATCATGAATCCATCAAGTTTCATACTTGTTTTATTTTCCATTACATTGGCCGTGGCTCTCGCTAGACGTTTCTTAAGATCCAAGAAACCAAAAGATCAACAGCTTCCTCCAGGTCCATTGGGATGGCCAATCATTGGGAACATGGTCCAAATGATCATGAACCGGCCGGCTCACTTGTGGATCCACCGCGTCATGGAAGAACTACAAACGGAGATAGCATGCTTCCGCTTTGCTAGTTTCCATGTCATCACCATAACCTCAAGCAAGATTGCCCGTGAAATGCTAAGGGAAAAAGACGAGGTTCTCGCTGACAGGTCGGAGTCATACGCGAGCCATCTCATAAGCCATGGCTATAAGAACATCTCTTTCTCTTCCTATGGAGAGAACTGGAAGCTGATGAAGAAAGTGACGACTACCAAACTTATGTCTCAAACAACATTGAGCAAAACACTCGGTTATAGAAACCTAGAAGCTGACAATATCGTCACATATGTCTACAATCTATGCAAACTAGGGTCAGGAAGAAACCTGATCAACGTGAGGGATACAATCTTAACATATTGCCATGCCACGATGATGAGGATGATGTTTGGCCAGAGGCATTTTGATGAAGCGGCAGAGGATGGTGGTCTTGGTCCGAAAGAGAAAGAGCATATGGACGCAATATACTTAGCTCTTGACTGTTTTTTCAGCTTTAACTTAACGAACTACATCCCTTTTCTTAGAGGATGGAACGTAGATAAAGAGGAGGCAGAAGTAAGAGAAGCGGTTCATATAATCAACAAATGTAACGACCCGATCATCGAAGAGAGAATACATCTATGGAGGAAGAAAGGCGGAAAAGATATGGAAGAAGACTGGCTCGATATCCTCATCACGTTGAAAGATGATCAAGGAATGCCTTTGTTCACATTTGATGAGATTAGGGCTCAATGCAAGGTGAGTGATATGTTCACATACACATCAAATTGTTACACATAATTTAGGCTTTGTGAAGATTTATGAACTTTCCAACTAAAAACTAAATGGCAATATCCTTTACTCTATATATATACTAGTATTCTAGGTTCCTTCTAACTTCAAATTTGAGATTCGAACATGGTTGTATTAATATCTTATATTGTGTATATTATCATATATGCAGGAGATCAACATTGCTACAATTGACAATACGATGAATAACGTGGAGTGGACGTTAGCGGAGATGTTGAATCATCCAGAGATTTTTGAGAAAGCCACAAATGAATTGGACATGATAGTTGGTAAAGACAGACTTGTGCAAGAATCAGACATACCAAAACTCAACTACATCAAAGCTTGTAGCAGAGAATCTTTTAGGCTTCACCCAGCTAATGTGTTCATGCCTCATCATGTAGCTAGAGAAGATACTACTCTCGCTGGTTATTTTGTCCCCAAAGGTAAAAACTCAATCACTTATCCCAACTTCCCAAGATCACAACTTTAATTATAGGTATTGGAAAATAAAAAGTAAACAAAATTAGTAATAAGTAACTTGTCATATAAAATTTCAATAATTATGATTCCTGACGTAACGTAATCTTACGTTATATAAGACAAGTATAAAACAAGAGGCATTTCTTACGTAAGAATATACATGCATGCACAACGTAACTGGTAGTGTACTATCTTAATAAAGTTCTAATACAGTCTAGTCAAATAAATAAATGTTATTTATTCCAACTTGGTATTTATAGTCTAACATTATATTATTGCATTGACAGGTGGTCAAATTCTTGTGAGCCGTTTGGGACTTGGTCGGAATCCTAAAATATGGGACGAGCCAAACACGTTCAAGCCAGAGAGACACCTCGATGGCCATGTTGAAAACTCACTAGGTGTGAATCTGATGGAGCAGGACATGAGGTTCGTTACATTCGGCACCGGTAGGCGTAGCTGCCCCGGGACTAAGGTCGGGGCATCTATGACCATCATGTTGTTAGCCAGGCTTCTCCAAGGGTTCGAATGGTCTCTCCCTCATGGTAAAAGTCATGTAGAGCTCATTTCGGCTGAGAGCAACTTGTTCATGGCCAAGTCTCTACTCGCATGCGCCAAACCTAGGTTGGCTCCAAGTTTATATCCGAAGATTCAGACTTAAGACAAATCATCAAGTTATACAATCTTACCAAATGATGTGAAAAATGTCTTATATAGTTACATATTGCTAAGTACCTTGTATATTTCTAATCGATTCGTGTGTTTGTGAGCTTTTATAAATCTTGTTTAATTTTCCTTGTGGGTGTTGTAGTTTTCGAAAGTTTTATGTAAGCTGCCCTACGGTGGATGTATGATAAATCTTGATGTATTTTTATTTTCTTTCATATTATACTAAAATTCATGTAATTAAGTTGTGCTAAGTATCAAGCAAAAGCAATCAACATTGTAAATTTACGGTACATACCATAAATATTTCAGAGTTTTTTATATAAGATTTAACATATAATTTTCATCACTTTTGCCTCTCCAACTATTTCTCATCAGCAACATTATATGGAACATCATCTCCTGAATTCATAACATCAAGATCGATTCTAAATTACCTGAGGAGAGTTGACACAACGACCAACTCAATTCTATTGGATATCCCACTTGTCTTAACATGCCTATGCAAATTATCAACCTGTAATAGCAGAGTACATCACTTAAGCTACAAGCATAAAACTATAAATTTTAATGTACCGATTCATATTCCATATTACATCACTATAGCTACCAAATTAAACTAATGCAAAACAAGTAAATTAATGCTAGTTTACTTGTTCCCATCCGAGAGGTGTAAGATGTGCGTCAAAGAACTCCTCAGATGAGTAAGCATCAAAGTTCTTCCCTCCGTCTACATTATGAATCCCTTGAGCATGCCTCACCTAAACACAAGAACTCAATCAAAACCTGAGTAACAAAGCCAGATTAGAATAACCTTAAGAACACAAACCAGATGTATGGTTTTGCAACGGTGCAGTGGGTAAAGGCCTTGACTTGGTTTAGCTTCCATAGCTAAACTTGTGCAAAAAAAATCAAGAAATTACTTAAAAGTTATAACACATGAAAAGCAAAACCAATTCAACATTGACTCAGAGCCGTTTAATTTAAATATAAAACAAATTTCAAGTATTTTAAGAGTAACAGATAAAGCTTCTGTGGCAAGGAATATTGCTGCAACAAATTAAAGGAGTAGTGATGGAAGAGGAGATGATATAAAAGAATTGAGTTCATTGATTGGTGAAGTTTTATACATTAAAATATGAATCAGTGGGCAAGAATAATTTCTGCTTTTTCTTTCATATATATTTTTTTGTCATTATAACTTTATAAGAATACTAACTTTTGGAATATATATAGTAAAGTTGATGCTACTTGCTAGCTTTTGAACACCCAAATCACATTAGGCCATATAATAAATATTTCAATTTGAAAAAAACTAATCATGCGATGAAGAGAGAGAACATTGAATTAATCTTTACAAACATTCACCAACCAAAATACAAAACATGTTTTTAGTTGAAGTATTTAACTTGGAAGACTAGGTTCGAAAGAAGGAGTGTGTTTATGAAAATTTCTTATATAATATTATACAACTTATAAATAGGAGAAAAAAAAAATTACTCTTGTATTATTTCTTCAGTTTACGTATTAGTTTAGTTGCTTTTCTCTATTTCAATTAAGACCCAAATTGTTCCAACCTCCAACCTTTTCATTTATAAAAACACCAAACAAAGAAATGAAGAAGTAAAGTTTGATTGTTTATTTTATAGCTTTTAGACCGATCGATAATATGAAGATATGTAGTACAAAGTGTTATTATAGCTTTTTTTTTGCTTGTGCAGTAAATTTCATCTTACAACGTATTTCGAATACTAGAAACACTTTAGACGTTTTCGTGAATGAACTCGTAAGTTGGGTCATTTTTAAAGCATTGTACAAAAGCAGTTCAACGTAATTTGTTTAAAAAATAAAATGTTAATTAAACAACACCTTTATATGAATAGCAGTTGTTGGATCAGCCTTAACAACAATCGTACGATCGAATTGTCACACAAATATATCCCTCTAATGTAGTATATATTGCCAAAAATTGAATTTCAAGACATCTTCATGCGTTTAGCCGCACTTCACCGGTCTATATTATGAGTATTAGCCAAAGAACATCTATGCCACCATATACACAAGGAATGTGACTGAATTCTTGACGGAGGAAATCCAGGTTCAAAGAACGGTGAATGCATTGTTATTCCAAGATCAGCACAATTATTTCACGATATGTGGATGAAATACAAGCTAACTCGGTCGACTTCATCAGGGACATATATATGGGACTACATCGAAGAAGTGTGCTTATACATGTCATTACCAATTACTCTGCTAGGTTTCCAGAAATTGAAGGTAATATCAAACAAGTAGGTGGAAAGCTATTAGCCTATTATCCAATATGAAGGAACAGTCTGAAAATTAAGTGATTAAAACCCTTGAAATGGAGAAGTTGACTGATTACACTTGTAACCCTGTGTACATGATGAATTAATGGTGTCAATGATGGTGTTTTTCTAAAACCACTTCGTACTCAATCGAGATAAGATTTAAGTGTGCAACATTGCTAATCCATAAAGGAGAGTATAACTATAAACATCCAAATTACAAAAAGAAAGATCTCAAAGACAATTAACTTTGTTAGTTTTTAAGAAGTTTGCATAGAAAAATAAATAACTTTGAGATTCATATAAGATTTAACACAATTCTCATAACTCTTGTCTCTATAACTACTTCTGAGCATCAATATCACTAGGAAGATCTTCTCCAGCAGGTATTTTTCCGGGATAATTGGTCACTGGCGGATTCGAACTATTCATACTACATTCCAAAGAGAGAAGAATATGTATAACTTTCAAAAAAACTTTGTGAATGAATCAAATTGTGAGCACTTTCTCTGAATTAACAAACTTACCATTTATCTACAAGAACAACCGAACGGAGTTCACAGTTGGCAAATCTGCAACAAACAAAAGAATTTTGAGATTTGATACAATGGCAAATGATCAAAGAGAGAGAGAGCAAGAACTCTTACTGTGTAGAAATCTCCTTTTTCACGGCTGGATCGCAATCGTTTCCAAATGTGTTTAATGTTTGATACAAGAACCCGCTATGAGTAACAACCGCAATCTCTGTTTCTTTCCTTGTACTCAACCTGAATTCAATTGATTATATATCAATCATGCCATGAGTATATCATATAACATCAGACACATAGAGCTGTTAACAAGAGTTGTATATATTCACCAGTTCATGAACTTCACGCCTCTGGCCGCGATATCTTTGTTCTCCTCTCTAACGTTAGGCTTCCACAAGACATCTTCATCAGTTTCTATCTGTATATAGAATATGTGAAAAACAAAAGAAAACATCAAGGCCGGTCCAAAGTAAACCTATAGAAAAAAGATTCGTGTTTCTTGAAACTAAACACTTGCCAATGAAAAATCAATTGCAGGGAATAATTCGCGGTACTTGGTGATATTGCTTCTTCTGTCACAAGGATGAACACCCTAAAGACCAAAACAAGAACATTAATTTTCAAAATCTTGTAATATCAAGAAAATGTCAATTATACAAAAGATGGAAAAAGTAAACATACCAAATGTTCACGGCATAATTCAACCGCAATGAATGGTGGACAATTTAAGCTTGATATAGCGGGACGATCGCTGTTTCCTGCACCTGCCACCATAAGCAGAGGTGCATCAACTCCATTTTTGTCACCTTCCCCACCAAAAGTTCCAACTGCAGTTTGCAAAGTCCTAAAGCATAACAAGTATAGAGATAAATTACACAACTCTCAAGTGAACTATATAGCAGAACATAAATCACAAAGCATGTTCAAGTAAGAATCCATTCATGTAAAGACCATTAAGACCATATCAATAAGCTTTACTGGTTTAGTATATTACCTGAGGAGAGGGGACACAACAACCAACTCAATTCTTTTAGAAATCCCACTTGCCTTAACATGTTTATGCAAATTATCAACCTACAATAACATAATTCACATTAAGACCACAAAACTTCTATGTGTAGCATTATTATAACACCAGGTCATTCAAATCATAGAGTGAATGAAATTCTAAGCTAATGAAAAGTCATAATTATAAAAACTCTAAACAATGATGTGTAAATTAACTTACCTGTTGCCATCCAAGAGGTGTAAGATGTGCATCAAAGAGATCTTCAGATAAGTAAGCATCATGATTCTTCTCTCCTTCAACATTGTGAATCCCTTGAGCATGCCTCACCTAAAACACAAGAACTCAATCAGAAATCTGAGAAACAACAACATAATCAGAATAGTGGGAACAAAACTAACCAGATGTATAGTTTTGCAACGGTTTAGTGGGTAAAGACCTTGACTTGGTTTAGCCTCCATATCTAATTTTTTGATCCATCCGAGAAGAAAAAAAAAATCAATGAAACACTAAACCTTGACTATTTCTTGAATTCAAGATTTTGGTTTTAAGTATTCAAGAAACAAGGAGAGAGTTATACCGTGAGAAGGAAGAGAGCTGCAACAACGAAGAGGGAGGCGACGAATTGAAGGAAGAGGAGAAGAAACAGAGGAAATGTAAAATGGAAGATTTGAAGTCATTGATTGGTTAATCATAGAGATCCGTGGCCAAGCTTTTTTCAGGCTTTTGTTTAATTACTCTTAACAACTTTCCTGTTATATCTTTTTTTTTTTTTTGTCGAGTACAACTATGGAATATTCCTAAAGTCCCAAAACCTTTTGTTGTGGTTCTGTTTGACTTGAATTAATGTGATGACCAAAAAAAAAATATTTATACAATTCTTGTCATGGCACCAGCCATTTTGTTTATTGCTGTTTTTTCTTCTCATAAACACATTAATTATATTATTATTACTAAGTAGCCCTCTAGGCTCTAGCAAAGAAAAAAGAGGGTAGTTTGCTTTTTTACATTTTCCTCAAAATCTTTATATAATTATATATATATATATATATATATTCTCATTTACTTTCCTTATCTTATGTGATGCGGATATGAGAATCAGATTAACTTTAATTTTTGCGAATTGTTTATTTCTTTTCTAATTTTACAACTTTTGTACTCAACTACTCATCTTATATAAGTTGATCAATAGTCTTATTTTAAAATCACCCTTGAATATTGAAAGTTAATAGAAAGTATTGTCCTTTTCACAAAATTTGACTTCTTATGTTATTATTTCATTAAAGTACATGGAAAAAATATCATTCTAAATATTCAATATAATAATTCTTGAAATTAATCCTACCAAAAAAATCAATTTTGAAATTAATTCTAAATATTTAATACAATCTAGTGTGTATTTCATAAATCTTTCTAATATATTTTACCTCAGTTTTAGGAGGTTTTTTCTCTTAATTTTTAGCCATCATAAAAGTATTTATTTCAACGGATTGATAATCATTGACACATTGATTTTTTTACATGTATACAAAAGCGAGAGAAAGTTTGTCTTCCTCTATGTCCATGATATGAGTACAAAAGCAGACAATATGTGCTGATTTGATACATTATATTAACAAGTGATTTTTTCAATTAATTAATTATAGTAAATTGATGGAAATGGATAAGTGAATATCTTATATTAACAAGTGATTTTTTCGAGGATATATGAACAACATATAGTTAATTATGTGTATAACATTACTTTGAGTTAAATTTAGTTATTAGAAATCTTAATACAAGTTTTTTTTAAAATACTATATTTTAAATATATCAAATACATCATATGAAATTCTATTTTGTACATAAACCGCTCATGATTTTGAGAGGGTAAATGTCTACCCACAATATTTTATTTTAGTTCTTAAATTTTAAGTTGATAATTGATGAAAATTTGTGCTCTCAATTAATTTATGAACTTTAAAAATGCGTTTGGAGAGTTTTTAATCGCTTATAAATTGCTTTATTACTTGATTTTGAAAAGAACAAATATGATAACATTTTCATTACATATTTTCACACTATAACAATAAGTCATTAAATTTATAAAGCATAAACAAATATGGCTAAACTTATCCTTGTAATTTTGATGTGTGTGTTTGTTCCTTTTTTTTTTTTTTTTTTTTTACTGAAAATCTAAGCAAAATTGTTATGTGATCATCGAAACCACTCCTAAATGTGCTTTAGATATAGTTCTTGGCATAGAAACAACATCACAAGCAAAGATAAGACAAGAAAAAACATGTCTCTATACCACAAGAACCAAAAGTTTATACATTATTACAAATATGTAACGGTACTTGGATCAATACTGTTACACTTCGAGTCTCTGAAGCAAAAACAAATGCAACAAGCTCGCTTTAGCTTCACAACACTTACACTTGACAATAGATATGTTAGTCTCTTGCACACAAATTAAATGAATCAAATAGATCCATGCAATCTTTAGGATCTATGCAATTTACTCGGGTTTGCGGGAAGCTAATCTTGTCTCGTCTGTCAAAAGAGATGAACATTTTCTTCCTCTTCTTCCTCTCTTTTACTTCTGTTGTTGTTGTCCCACCATTGCCTTAATCTTTTCTTCCAAAATGTCTTTCTCAAGCCCGTACATTCTGTTCAAAGCATGCATATTCTCAAGTGTCTCGCTTAGCGTTCTACTGTCACTCCCATCACATCTCAAATGTTGCATTGGACCGTGCAAGAATCTATTCACGATACCTCGGCTTAAGTCATCAACAGCTCTTGTTGTTTTCTTGTTGAGGTCATCTCCCATTTTGGACATGCACTTCTCGAGTTCAGCCACTCTGATTCTCTCTGCATAAGCTCTTAACTTCTTGATGGTTGGAACAGTCTCCAATGAATCCCTCCATGCTTCAAACTGTGTTGACTCCTCTGTGATTATGGTTTGAGCTTCCATTGCTTTTCTCAACCTGTCTTCTTTGTTGGCTGCAACAACTTCTTTGAGATCGTCCACATTGTAAACCCGTGCGGTTTCAACTTCATTAACACAAGATCCGACATTTCTTGGAACAGAAATGTCAACAAAAAGCCTCAGTCCTCCAACCTCTGGACAAGCTTGAGGGAGATTCTCTACATTCTCCTTAAAGAACAATGGCGTCTCAGAGGCTGTGCTGGTAAACACAACATCCGCTTCTGCAGCACAAGCTAGCATCTCATCAAGAGGTCGATATATAACCTCAATACCCGGCATCTCCTCACGAATAGCTGAAACTCTCTCTTCACTTCTGTTGACCACCACCACTTTTGCACAACCCTTGGCCATCAAATGCTTTATCACAAGCTTCCCCATTTTACCTGCGCCAACTACACACATCCTAGCGGATGCGTGTGAAGACTGCGGAAGCTTCATCAGAGCAAGTTCAACAGCAGCTGAGCTAACTGAAACCGCACCAGAAGCAATGTTTGTCTCTGTTCTGACACGCTTCCCAACAGTTATCGCGTGTTTAAACAGCCCGCTGATATTCCTCCCAAAGCCATTTACTCCTTGACCAACTTTCACAACTTGCTTCACCTGTGCAAGGATCTGACCTTCTCCAAGGACAAGAGAGTCAAGTCCAGCTGAGACTTCAAATATATGCTGTGTAGCATCCTTGTTGTACAACAGAAAACGGTGTTGACAAATCTCCGAAACAGGGATCCCACTCGTCTGACAAAAGAGAAAACAATCTGTTAACACTTGCCACCTATTCTAACACAGCCATGATAAACACTGTAGTATATAAACAGATCAAATATAAATGCCACTACAACTGTTATGATCAATCTAAAAGTAGACACTTCAGAACAAACATGCCCTTGTTTTCATACGCAAGTCTTACAACTTCAGTTTCCTGTCAGTTTAAGTTAACAAAGACTACTATACACTAACATGTTGTAAAGCATTAGTCACACTCCAAAGTACCACCAAGAAGAACAGTATAAGGAAAACAAAAGTTCACACCTTTGACATCCATTCAGTAACTTCTTTAACTCCACGATGCTGAGACAAAGCTAAAACATAAATCTCCATACGGTTACAGGTACTAAGCACAGCAGCTTCTTCGATATGATTCAAACCGCACAGTTCAGCAATAGCTCTTGGCCATTCAGCTTCTGGTATAGCAAGCTTCTCACGCATCTCGACAGGAGCTGTGTGAATGCTAAGTCCAATCACCACAATACTGCTTCTCTCCTTTGTATATCCTAACAACCACAAAAATCATGTAATAAGAAAAAATTGCATTCCCATCTTTCAGATCAAAAACATAAACATAACTCAATAAAATGGATTTGAAACACGAAAAGGTTCAAAGTTTGGGATAGTTAAACAAAGAGAAACCATACTATCAGCTGCAGAGTTCTTGAGTTGTTCAAGGGCAGAGACGCTAGCTGCATTAGACGAAGCAGAATCAAGCTCACAACGAGCTCTCTGAATCAAACCACGTCTGGTTCTATTGTTCCTTGGAAGAGCACGAACTCCATTAAGACCCAATGTTGTCTGTGAAACAGAGGACAAAGACGAAGAAGAAGAAGAAGAAGATAGAGTATGGTGATTCAATAAAGTCTCAAGCTTTGGACAACCAACGAAAGCACTTGAAACCGCCATTGAAACCCAATTCTCAAATCTCTCTTCTTTCTTTGTCTTCAATAAAAAAAATCAAACCTTTGAGAGAGAGAGAGATTAGGAATTGAGGAAGAAGAGACAGAGAGGGATGGGCTTTGGGGATGTGGAAGAAGGAGATCGTTGTGAATATGATTTGAGGCTGAAGCTGAAATCAAAATCGGGTCAAAACCGGTTTAGTCAAGATATTGAACCGGGAATTATGGATTTTGATTGGTTGGAGTAATCTAAAGATATGAGTAATGAGAAATATTGAGATTTTGATGAGATTTGATTGGCGGGTGGAGAACACGTTTTATCCACACTTTGTGTTTTGCTTATTTGGTGGCGTTTGTTCTTACACGGCAACATATGATTGTTTTATTTATTTGTTTTCTAGTAGATTTGTGACTCTTATGAGATCTATATATATTGTGAAATTTAATTTATTTGTTTCTTTTTATGATGAAATAAATATTGGGATAATATTTGTGCATAGGAATTATCCGGATATCTGAAAGGAATCTATGTAGATCTTAGAAGTTACCATATGAAAAATGTGAAAAAGTTCAGAAGAAAATAATTAAATATTGTTTTCTTGGACATTATTATAAGGCTCATAGTTTGTTTTATTGTATCAGCCTATGGATATATTGATTGTACTATGAGAAAATATATCATTGTTTATAAAGTGTTACATTCTTTTAAAATTTCATACTAAATCGGGGAATTTTAATGCTTGATTGTTTTTAATAAAGATAATAATCATCATAGTTTAAGATTTTAATGTTTTCTATTTGATCATTACAAAGGCTTCAACCTATGAATATAATTATTATAATTTGAGAAGTATGTCAAAAAAAAAAAAAAGAGCCTAAAATTATCTTTAAAATTAACTCATTGTGTAGTAATTGGCTAAAGTGCTTAATCATTTTATCAATACATGTCGTCTAGCTTATAAAATTTAGACTAATTAACAACATATGATTAAATACGTTGTCATGCTACCAAATAATTTGTTTATTGTTTATTGTTACCATCAAAATTGTGATTAGGGTTTCACGTCTTTTCACTAGGCTCATGGACCCATCATATCTAACGGCCGTTTTGTTATGTTTGAGAAGCTTTAAATACTTGTTAATCTATACTACAAATCATTACATGATATTCCATGAGTATTGTCCTCATTTACACAGTCCCATCAATCACTTTTCGGAATGTCACACATCCTAATACTACTCCAGTATAAATACGTTTAATTGTAGAGTACTCTTAGAATATTTGAACTAAAAGATAAATGCACTTTGGTGTTAAAGATCGTCAAATTAAATACTTTAAACCTTTCCGCATTTTCTGAAATCAGGGTGCCACAATTCCCCCTACTAGCATATGTAATGTGTTATATGATGTAATGAATTATGATATTCTATTGACTGTTCCATCGATTATTCATTTAACTTTATCAAAAGGAAAAAAATAGGGTGCAACAACTATGCAGTTGCCAAGTTGTTGGCTGTTCCATCGATTATTCAGTCATGTTCCTTCGCCAAGATTTGAAGGGCTACAAGCGATAAAAAAATTAGGGCCATTTTATCAAAAGGAAAAATGGGAAAAAAAATAAAAATAAAAACAACTATGCAGTTTCGTGGGCTTGAACCCAGAAACTATAGGGTGCAATACTGATAGTAAACTACTAGACTAAAGAGAGATTTAACATTTGAGGGCCGAAAAATGTATATAAAATAAAGGGCCACAAGCTTGAGCTTCATGAGCCTGTCCCAAAGGCCGGCTCTGCATATAGATCATGACCAATCAAATATATGGCTATAACTAAACTAACTTAATTTAATTAATAGCAAAAAGAGCAATAAATGATAGAGAAATTAGCATCTAACCATCTATATATACATTTTTGAAGTACATTTGGTACTAAAATCTATTTAGGTTTATAACCTTTTATTTTATAATATTTGCATAATCAAATCCTTGCCAATTGAATAAATAACAAAACTTAAAAGTAAATTTTGTAATTAAATCACAAGCAAATCCTAAAATTGGAAACAAATATTTATTACATCAAAAAGATTTCCTAAATTGTCTTTCTCTAATAAATCGAATCTCTCTCCAATATATTTATGTAATCTTATTTGTTTTTAATTTATATTATTACATAAAATATATTTATAATAAAAAAAAAAAAAAATTTCACACATTTTGTAATTAAAATTTTTGAAAACGGACGTATATAACTCAAAATATAAAGGAAAAAATATATGTACAACGTCTATAAGGTAAAAAAATTTAGATAATAGTTCACAACCATTATAAATAATACTAATATGTTCACAACTATAAATGAACATGAACTAAAGGCTCTCATGTATCTAAATTAAAATTTTAAAGTTTTATAGAATATTTAAAATGTTAAAAATATTTAAACTCTACAAAAAATTAAAATATTATTAATATTTTAACTCTAAAAATATTTAAAATATAATAATATAATAAATAAATATGATTGAACGGTTTTGAGTTTATATAAATATGATTATATGTTTCTTACGGGTTGTCTATACTAAAATTGTTTTACGGGTTAAGTTAAAATATAAAATTGATTTACAACAAATCGTCCCGCGGTGTACCACATGTTTTTTTTGGTGGGAAGTGTATAGCGGATTGACTACATATATCTACGAGTCTGCTTATTATACAAATTCATAAAATTATATAAAATTAAAATTATATAAACAAGTATAAAACTAAATTATATAAACCAACAATGAAAATGATAAATCAAACAAATATATTAAAATTATGGACCCGTGGTGTACCACGGGATGAATCCTAGTTAAAAAACAAAAAAAATATCAATAAGTTTTATAAAATATCTCCTTAAGAATTCCCAAAACGCTAGGATAGACTACTACTCCTTAGTGTATGAATTCCGGAGGCTGCTGAGTTCAAGTTTAACGGTATGAGATCATTGTAGTTTTGAGATCTTTGATTTTGTCTAGGGAAGTCTCTAAGGCTTTAAGAAACTAAGTACAAAACTATTAGAAAAAAAAAATCTTGAATCAACCTTTAAACTTTAAAATCATATATACTTTATATTTGGTTGTGCCTCTGCATCAAGAATACAAAAGGTATTTATATACAAGAGTGTTGACATCTTTCTTGGTGGTCATGACCTCTGTGTTTAATAAATATTTTTTTCTTTTTCTTTTGCAGGATTTAATTCATTGTGTATATTAAATAGAGAAGAGGAAAATAATAAGAAAGGTGTTTTAATGGGAATGACAGAAATCAAATTAAAAGAATATTACATTATTTATCATATTTTTCTTCATAAAATATAATATATGGAACCAAAGAAATTAAATATCAACTAACTTGAAATAGATGTTTTACACTAATAAAGGTTTGAAATTCAAAATAAGATCATAATTTAAAAAAATAAAAGAAAAAATTTTTATTGTTCTTTATGTTATTTATGTTATAAATTGTATCTCATGTATGTTTAAATTTTTTTAATTTGTAATAATAAATTCTCTTAAATTAATTTTAATTTAATATCCTTTTAAATAAATATTTTTTTTCTAATAACCACAATTTAAAAGCCTACCATTAAAGACACGTAAAAACTAAAAACAAAAATACAATCTCTTAACTCTTAACTTTAGAATTTTAATACTAAACAATTCTTAAGAGCTAATCTTAAGAGCTTACCAATAATCATGTTGTAAGGTTATGATCTTAACGAAACTTTCTTGTAAGATAAGATATCTATATATCTATACATATATATATATATATAGCTATTAATCTATATTAGATGTCATCAATCGACATGTCATGTCATCATCGATCAGTTGTTGTGTTTGAATAAAAATAATACAAAGGCAAACTTTTGAATGCTTTCCATCTTGTTTACTGCCTTGTTCATGGCTTGTGCATAAATTAAGCGATATCAATTAAGTGCAAGTTTAATAATGCTTGTATCTGAATAATAAAATAAATGAGATAATAATATACAAGAAATCATAGAGTCTACGAATACCACAAGAGGTTAATAAAAGCACATAACTTCGATTATGAGATTGATAGTTCTTGAACTTGAATTACTTATGTAAAACTACCCTATGGTCCTAGCGATAATTATTTATAAAAAAATTTACCAAAGAAAAATAATCCTACTTCATTCAGTTTACAAAATACAATAACATTTATAATTGTTTGGCGTAAGATCGAACAGAATCCTGTTATGAACTCCTTGTAGATACATATTGTCTTAGCCAACGTGAGAAAGTTTTTAAAACACTGCGAATTTTCAAGAGCTGGTTGGGAATGAGGATGGAAGATGAGCAAAATCAAGTGTCACGACTAGTATTGATCATGATATACGGGCTGTTCTCTTAGAGTCGATGAATCAAGTCAATGTTGCAAGAATGATTGGAAAAGCTCCTTGAGTCTAAGTTGGGATAATTTTCAATATAAAATGGAAATCAGTCTGATTAGTCTTTATCCGAACATCGTATGTGGAATCGATTATATGTTGGAACTAAAATTTTGACAAAGTATTAGGCCCTACAATATCTTGTATTTACATATCAAAATGAAAGTTTATTTGAATTAGAAATGGGGATCCAAATTGGGTAGCTTAGAAATATTGTATTTTTTTACCAAGTATCAGAATGAGTAAATGTCCCACAATTGATGTAGAAGTGATAAGGCCATTATGCAAGCCACACCCATGTAAGCATGTGGCCACAACCAAGACGAGCCATGAATCATGGGTCTTGATGAATGTTGAGTTGTGGAGACAAATCACAAGTTTGAGTTCTTCCTGAGTATGTTTTGAGTGGTAACTCGTTTTGAAGTCAGAAAAATCAAAGAAGAATTTTCTGAGTTAAACAAAGTGGTCATAGTCTTTAAACTTAGAAAAATAGAAGAAGAAAATTATGTGTAAACGGAGTGGTCACTCGTTTGAAGTTAGAATTCATATTTGCAATCTTCCTTATGACTTTTTGCATGTCATTTAATATAAAAGCTTTTAGATTGCGTCAAAAATATATATTCTTGCGGAACAAGATGGAATATTTCCAAATCCTTATCAGAATAAATCTGAATCCTTATCGGGAAATTTTCCAAAATAGTACCCTTCATTGACTTGAGGATCAAGCTCCTCCTCCGATCCCTATAAATAAAGACTCTCATCATTCTCTCAAAAATCGGAATCCAATTCAAATAAATTCGAAAGAAAAAAGCTTCCAGCAAATCTATCTCTCAAGTCAAGTAGTCGCGAGAGTATATTGTGGTACCATTCGTAGATTAATCTATAATCGAGTGTTGTGATCATAGTCTTAACATGTCTTAACAAGGTGGATCCTATGATTTACAATCTTATGAAAATCGCCATACTACGGAAAATTTATTAATTGGATTGGATTTTTGTTTGTGATTTTCAATTCAGGATTTTGCAATCCCTACATTATATGCGTAAAATAGACAAATTAGCTACAAGTATTGTAGCATTGGAAGGCAGGGGTTATAGAAACAGAGTCGAGTCCAATGTCCTCATCTACTTAGGCAAAGGAGGTAACATTATGGGCAAGGATCAAAAGGTACTTCAAGACCAAAAAATGGTTAGGAGAAATTTGGCTCTAGCTAAAAAAATTATTAAATTTTGATCTGCATTTGATATGCTAGATCTGCTTGATCCGCTTTTGTCCTATTTGAACCGCTTGATCTGCTCTGCCCGAAATGTGTATTGTGACCAAAAAATATTTTACTGTGATAACACAATTTATTTAGTTATAAAATAAAACCACACTTCACTTTTATTGCTCCAGGAATTTCCAATAGGACCTTACTAAGCCCATTTAGCTTTAGTATGTATAATCCAACTTCAAAGTAATATATAATAAAATCTTATATTATTACTTATATATACATTAAACTATATTTTCAAAATTAATATTACTTTTCTGTAAAATGTTATAATGACAAATGTATTATGATTACTTCTTGCTAAAAAGGTCTACAAAATCATTAAATCTTTTTAACTTTTAAAAATATGATATTTTATGCTCTCCTCTAATTTCACTTCTACCACTTTCCTCCTATTAATATTTGTAACCCTTATCAAGCATATATTTTTCCTAAAATGAAAATATAATAAAATTTGAAAATTAAAAATTTATATTTTTGAGATTAAAAATAGCGCGGATCTGATTCTAGTTTAGTTATAAAATAAAACCACACTTCACTTTCTCAGCAAGTATCACAACACATCATTTTCTAACTCCGTGTATTGTGCGAATCCATTCATATCTTGTCTGGCTTATTCCAAAAGATTGTTTTATATATATATATACAACTCCGAAACAGAGTCATGAAGAGTAGTGAAGATTTCTTTTTTTAGGGTTTTTAGATTAAGAAAGATGGATTCATTCACACGCTTCTTTTGTTTGCATGTTGCATCCAACTAGTGAATGTAAAGTTCTAATTTAAATTATTGATCAATAATAAATTTAAGCACATATGAACATGTTAGAATTGCAATAAATATATAACAATTCCCGATTTGTGATAGAGATGAAAGCCAAAACAAAAGATAAAAGATCAAATTTTTTTTTGAGAAATTCCTTTGAATACCACCATTTTAGTTTTTCTTCCAAAAATACCATAATTTGTTTTTTATTCCAAAAATACCATAGAAGTTTTATTTTCCAAAATTACCATAAACATAAAAAAATGAAATTTTGAAGATGTAGAATTTTTTTTTAATGTTTGGGTTGACTATTTATATTAGGGTATAATTTTTAGGGGTAGAGTTTAGTGTTTAGTATTTAAAAATTAATTTTAAATTTTACAAAATTTATTTTAGTTTTGTGGTAATTTTGGAAAAATGTATTCTAATCATATTTTTGGAAAATAAAACTTATAATGGTATTTTGGAAAAAATACTCATTTTTATGGTACTTAAGACATTCCCCCCTTTTTTTTTTATACCAAAAACTGGTCCGGACTAAAAAATATTAAAGATGTTACCATAGGTTATGGTCATGAAAGTACTTAATTATTTAGTCCCAATCATATTGGTTTGAGAATATGAAAGAAAGAAAAACTATTTTCTCCCTTTATTCTTGTTTTATATGCATTCTTTAATAGAAAGATGGATCAGTTTAGTTCATACAAACGTGAGAGTGGGAAAGAAACAACTAAGGAAGTATTCAGAAAGGTCAACACAAATTATCAAGCAATCAAAGAGAAAAAAGAGAGACTTGTACATACATAATTAGAAAGGTCAACACAAATTAGGGCAACAAGTAATTAAAAATCTCCCAATATAACTTGAACGATGTCTCTGTCTCTTCCAAACAATGATTCTTCTCTTCTCTCGTCCACAACTGCATATTCAACATAAGAACTTGCTTTACTATTATAATTGCACCAAAACTTTATTTTCTTTCACATTTTAACACTGAACTAATGCACATTTTAACAAAAACATATGTATAAGAAAATTCATATATTATTGTTATGTTCTATATATATACCTCAGCAACTTTGTTCAATTCTTGACCCACGTTCTGCAACAACTCGGAAAGCTGGCCGTCCCATTTGTAGAACTCGAGTTCTTTATTGTCGAGTATCTTCGCAGATACCTGAAAATATAAATAAACTTATTATTAGAGTTCAAAAGTCACACATCATATGAGATATAGATTTTTGGTAAAAATATAAAAGAAGCGACAATCCTTCTCGCTTGGGTTAGCTTTGGATTAACTAGACCAAGCAAATTTTTAGATATTAAATTTGTGTTTTTGTATACCTTTGTCCCAACCATTCGACCACCGGAGCTATGAGCAAAGTAGATGTTGTAGAAGTGGCAGATTAATGCTGGATGATCTTTCTCTGCTATATTTTTTAAATACTGAGAATATGTTTTACCCGAAGCCATTGGCTCCGGAATCTCGTGACCTTGTTCCTTGAACCACTCCAAATCCCTTCTCAAGTTCTCTGCCCTTTCCAATCCCGTATTTTTTAGCCCGGCATCTACACACAAAAATGTCCCAGATCTTGTATATAAGTTACACACAAGAAACAGAATCTTTTGATTAAGATCTATATATAGTAACTGTTACTTTATACATAACCATAACTTGCGCCATACACTAACATAGTTTTATCTAATACAAAAGTTTATTAGTTTGAAAAGTTGTATCAAGAAAAAAGATTTCTTACTATAATATTCTGTGATCCCTCGGAGATTGTTTGAAGACTAACATAAAGTGCATATGATCCAAGGAAGAACGAACTCATGACACTAAGATTGGTAGGACTACTAATACAGTCTGGTGTAATTCAAGTCCAAGATTATTTCTCAAAACTTTTTCTCCTAATCATTTCAACTTCGGAGAAGATTATATTACAATTGATTCAGATGAATCATTTCAATGAATCATGTTAACTAGAAAACATACTAATTTTTTTTTTGGCTAAATAAAACTTAATAAAATTTCAATTCATAACTAATAAGAAAAGGATGAGAAAAAAACTTACAAGCTGGGACAGTAGATTCGTGAACAATTGTTTCAAGCGTGTCGAACACAAGCTTACTGTCCACGAGAAACTTCAAGTACCCTTCGATTGTGAAACTCCACGGTGATACAGGACCATCTTTTTTCCCTTCAGATGCATGAGCTCTCGGGTGCAGTCTCATTACCACGTACCTCATCTCCTCCACAAACCCCTTAGTTTCTCCAGGATATATTTTTGTTGGCTTATCCTCTACTGACGCCATAGCATTCACAACCAAAGTCGAAGCTTCGTTTGCTCTTCGGACAAGATGTTGACGAGGAGTGGCTATGGTTCGGGGATACCTTATTGTCACGGTCTTAGCCCCTCAGACTGACATAACTCTCGATGTCTAGACTTTTGATTACGGGGAAGTAGGAAGAGGCATTGAGTCTTGCTGTAGGCATGAATACGCAATATATACACACACGTACGAAAACTTAAATATGAAGTTAAAGAAAGACTACGTAAGGTGTATATATACTATATAGAGTTGCATTATATAGTCTTTGATTTTAATATAAAGTGTATGTAGTTTTACATTAAGTCTTTATATTAAAGACTTTACGTATCTTAGTCAACGGTTTAATTAAGACTAAAGACAGATTCGTACGTAAGATGGAGCTGTTTCTAACAATATACCACCGCTGCACTAGTTGACAAAATAATAGAGAACTGGGTCTTACGTAACAAAGCATGTTAAATATTTTTAAAAGAAAGATCGGAATAATAATATGAATAAAGTACATACTATTTGACATATAAATCTTTTTAATTGTGGTAATTGAAAAATCAATCATTAATAGAGAGAATAATTAAAGACTAGCAAGAATAAAAAGAAAGAATTACAATGTGAAAAATAAAAACCATTGAGATTATATTACATTTCTTGCATGCTTGTGTGATTGAACTTTTGTGGTTGAAAAAAGTTAAAACAAGTAGCTAATAACAAATAGAATTCAAGCTAAATCAGCTGCAGAGTTCTTGAGTTGGTCAAGGGGTGAGATACTGAGACGATGCTTGCTTTATTTAGACCTCTCTGGATCAGAACTTTGCATGGTCCTGTTATTATTCCCTTGTCTTGTTCGCGGCCATGTTATTTCTTACCTTTTCTTCCGGCTTTAAAATTTCTTGGGATCGGTTCTGTTTGCGACAAAAAGAAGAGAGAATGTGGTGTAAGAAACTAGCTATATTCTTACTCGGGTTGTGTTCTTTGTTCAGGTTAGAATTGTATATATCTTTGATGGATTTTGGTTTCTAGACATGTAATTAATCAACCTATTTACCGGACGCACCTTTCTTTGCCACAACTTGTCCAATGTTTTCATCAAGAGCATATCTATCGATAAGAAGAAAAAAAATCCCCCTAAGAAAAAACTAACACCATTTTAAAAGATGATAAAATAATATTTACATAAAATAATATTTTTAAAGATATTTATATAAATGTGGTCTCAATAATATAATGAATTATTTATTATTTAATCAAAAGATTTGTATTGTTATAAATTTTTAAAGATGGTAAAATAATATTTACACATATTTGTTTATGATAACTATATGTCGTATGGTTATAGTGTTATTTGTATTTTCCTATATATTTTCTCATAATAAATTACGTATATTACATGTTTTATGCTATTATGGTTATTTGGGATGGAACCTGAACCAAACCAAACCAAATTCGATAAAATTTTGATTAGTTATAAATATCTATTCAAATATTCAACCAAATTGAGCTCGAAAAATTAAACCGATCCAAAACTAAATTATTTTAATATATTTGAATAGTTATTATATAATTCAACACAAATTAATGTTTAAATTCTTAGACTATTATTATTGATAGTTTTTTAACAAAATCTTAAGATACAATTTTTTAAAAAAATAATTCTTATATAAAATATATAATTTAAGATTTTGTTGACAAATTGTACCTTAAAATTTTGTTTAATCCTCGTAAAGGATTACTCGTTTATGAACGGATTTGATGAGTTGCGACTTGGAAACAAGTCACCAGCAACCACCAGCACACGTGTCTTTATCGTTATTCAACGTGGCACAAACATGAATAAGGATAAAGACACGTGTATCGGTTCCTTTTTTTTTCCTACCGTTGTGGTTCCTTTATTGGGCTTGTTTAGGCCTTTTTGTTTGAGAAGCCTTGTTCTGTTGGGCTTCTCTTGTGTTTTTCTCTTTCTCGTTTTAATAAATCCAGATATGAAAGAGAAACCAAAAACACGAGCTTTCAATATCCTTGCTTGCTACCTTAAAACATCAAAGAGTTGAAACACACACAACTTTACTCACAGAGCCGCATTAAATGCGTCCGCCGAACAGCGTCGCGTACGTATCTACTCTCTAGAGATTCTTGTCGGCTTAAAAGGGCCGGCTTAAAATCCTAAAGAACTCACTTTTTTCTTCTTCACTCTCGCTTACAAGCTACAATACCTCAAAATTTCAACAACAGTTGAGTCATTTTGATATTCTTCTGTGTTCTTTGAAGTTTCCTCAAGCTATATGTAGCAAAAAGATAGAATCTTTCTGCTTCTTGTGACCACATATTTGATTCACTTACCTTTTTGGGTCGGAAATCTTTATAAAGACGGAACCTTTATGCTTGTATCTTTGGTTTTCAGGGTTTTGTGTTGAAGAAGATGGAGACTGGTGATGGTTCTAAAGATGTAATCGGTGGTTTACCAGAACCTCTGATTTGTCATATTTTGTCTTTCCTTACTACCAAAGAAGCTGCTTCTACATCTGTTCTGTCAAGAAAATGGCGGTATCTCTTTGCTTTTGCTCCTAATCTTGATTTCGATGACTCTGTCCATCTGAGTCTTGTGAAAATCAAAGAGACTGATCATGTTAGTGGTAGAGATTATTTGGAAATGTATAACGAAAGAAAGATTCAGCTTTCTACAAGTTTCATGGATTTTGTGGATCGAGTTTTGGCATTGCAAGGGAATGACTCTGTACACAAGTTCTCTTTAAAGATCAGAGATGGTGTTGATCCTGTCTGTATCACTCGTTGGTTACTCAATGTGTTGGAACGTGGTGTGTCTGATCTTGAACTAGGCATGCATTTGAAATGGAAATCTTCACTTCCTTCGAAGATCTTTTTGAGTGAGTCACTGGTTCGGTTGAGACTAAATGTGGAACTTGGACCGACCATTGATGTTGAAGATGTTAATCTCCCTAAGCTTAAGACTCTTCATATTGAGTCAGTCCGTTTTGAAAAGCATGGTATTGGGCTTACCAAGCTTCTTTCTGGTTGTCACAAGCTTGAGGATTTAGTTCTGGAACATATATCTTGGTGCTTATGGGATTTCTCCTTTGTATCTGTCCCAACTCTTAAGAGACTAACGGTTTATGAGGACTTGCAAGATGAGAACCCGAGCAGTGTGTCCTTTGATACCCCGAATCTTGTTTACTTGAAGTTTGCTGATGCTATTGCGGACGAGTATCCAACAGTGAACTTTGATTTGCTTGTTGAAGCTCATATCGATCTTCGGATGTCAGAAGATCAGTTGGAGGAGACACTATATGATAGAGAGGCAAGTGGTTTAGATTCTGAAGGTAATATGAAAGGCTTTATGGTCGCTAATGCAACAGAATTTATAATGGGAATATGCAATGTGAAGATCCTCTATCTATCAGCTTATACTCTTGAGGTTTGTATAACTCCCATCTTTCTCCTAGTCTCTCTAATACAACTAGTTAGCTTTTTATTGCTTATGGAATGAAGTTGATATGGTTTTGTTCCAGGTACTTACATACTGTTGTGAAGCAATACCACTATTCAACAACCTCACTCATTTAACTATCGAGAGTGAGCCGCAAGTTGGATGGCAATCATTGCCGGACCTTCTCAAGAACTCTCCAAACCTGGAAACTCTAGTCTTCAAAGTATGGAACAGACCCTTACAAAGCATAAGCATGTGTTTGAGTTATTTTCAAAGTTTGAGATGTTTTCTCTCACATTTCAGGGACTCATTCACCAATTCTCGGATAGATGCGGCGATATGTGTTTATGCAATCCTTGGGAGGAGGAAGACGAGGAGGAGGAAGAAGAGAAAGAAGAGGAGAGTCCTCCTTCTTGCTTATCATCATGTCCAGTGAAAGTGCTGAAGATATTGAAGTTTGGTGAAATTCATGAGTACCAGATAGAGACAGAGAAGAAGATAGACCAAGTAAATCACTTTCTAGAGAAGTTGCCAAATGTTGAGAAACTGATGATATACTACAGTACACCAAATGATGAAGATGTGATGAAAGTTTACAAGAAGCTTCAGAGGCATCCTAAAGTAGCTTCATCTCAGTGTATTCTCCAAATCTTCTCTGATAACCTCAGCTTGTCATCTAAAGACTTTGTGCTCTCTTAGGTATCTACTAAATGAGGTCGAAATCTTTTGGAAAATATCTCAAGTGTGTTTTTTGAATTACTCTGGCTCTTTCAATGAGTCTTGGCTGCATGCTTTTGTGTAGTTCTTTTAATGATCTAATCTCTACACATTACTATCTTATTTCTGCCATATTTCTGTTCTAAAGATATTTGTTTTTAAGCTAAGTATCTGATTGTTTTTCTGATTTTCTCTTATTTAAAAGAAAAATAGGAAACCCCAAGTAAAATTGTTATAAGATTTTCACTGAAAATATGAAAGAATTTCCAAAATTTAGATATTCTATAGAAAAGAAAGGAAACTACAATAAAAAATTTAAACTGTTATAAAATTTGGGTTTTTAATTCACAAACTAAATCCAAAATCTAAAGACTAGAATAGAAAGATTCAAGACCTACTCGAATTCGCTCACACAAGTAAATTAACTCACAATGAGAAGTCAATGACCAATTCTTTTAAAAAATAGTTTACATATATTTTTACAAACAGAAGATTACATTTCATCTTTGCACATATAAAAAAAAAAAAAAAAAAGTAAAAAATATTACATTACATCATAATTAAACTAAATTTGCATGGTTACAACTTCACACAACTATAGAGAAGATATTTAACAAACAAATCTTTCAGGTGAACAAACAAAAAAAAATCTTTCAAATTCACACCATCCAATATATAACATTTTTTATTTATTTATCGACATTATCTTGGAATGTAAATACTTGCACTAAAATGTGATATTCTTCAACGGTCCATGCCTGATGCTACAAACGGCGGAGTGTTTCTATTTGATACTCCTCTCTCAATGTTCCCTTGCCACCCTTTTGTTTATAGTGAGATTATTGCAATGGTAACAAAAGTTAACAAGTTATAACTAAATCGACCATCATTACTAAAAAGCAAAGAGAGAAGAGAGATCTTGTTTACCTAAAGAAGGATCAAGACCGCGATGTTTAAGTTCGCGGTGTTCTTGAGAAAGAGCACAAGCACAACAGAAGAAGTGAATAGCGCCATCGGCGCAAGGCTCCTCAGGCAAAGAGTATTGGTTCCTCAATTTGGCTCTGTATAGTGAAGCATAGTACCATCCACACCCAATGTGAGACATTGCCACTATCATTAGTCCAGCTAGTCCTCGACCTTTTTAATTTAATCCATATCCATTAATTAATCATCCTTGATAATAATCAGTTCATCTCATTAGCTATGTAAGATATGTAGTATAATGTAAATCAGAAACTTACTTGTTTCTCCTTTGTCAAGGATCTCAGCGATCCTCCCAAATGCGACGCAAGGACAAAACCATGTGAAGCAACCTTCCAACCCAATTTACAAACAAATAGTTATGACTAATTAAACCGAATTATTATATTCTTTAAACTTTGTATAAGAAAAAGAGTTATAAACTGAAATGAAAATTTATATTACATGTAGAGGTATCTTCAGAGAGACAATCGTATAAACCAGTAGTCCATTGCCCTTCAGTTACTATCTTCACATTTTTGCTTTCTTGTTCAGACATTTTTTGTTGTTGTTTATTTGTTGAAGAGAGAACTTATTAACTTTGGTGTGTTTAGATAAATTGTTACACTCCAACTATATATAGACCAACAATATAAATTATTTTATTTGTTCGGTCTTAGTTTTGAATATTGACTACAAATTTTATACATATGTTTTTCTTACTTGTCACAAGAAAACAACTAAAATAGAGTATACAACGTCGTGGTCACTTGTTCAAACGGTGAAGACTGTTCTTTCCAGGTAATTTCAAAGATCTTATCTTTTATAAAAAAAATAATTTATTGATTTTCACATTCTTTCGATTTTGTTATTTATTGATATGTCTCAAGAATGTGAATAAACTAATTTTACAAAGTGTTTATACAGGTTCGAAATGAACCAATAAGGGGTTGAACAAAAAAAATGAGTTTGTTAATTAGAAATCATATTCCAGATTATATAGGTTTAACTTCGAATCTCTTCTACAATTAAAAAAAAAAAACTTTGAATGTCTTTTTTTTATATCAACAACTTATATTATTAGTGAGGTTCGGTTAAATTAATTCGAGGAAAAATGTCTACAACAAAATAAATTACGGTAAAAAAATAATTAGTGTTAATGATGTAAATTTGTTCTTTCTTAACTTGAATGGTCAAATGAAAACGAAAGACTAAGTTACATACAAATAATTAACGCCGAATGTAAATTTATCAGATATGTATTTGTTTAATTTATCTCGAAATCAAAATCTCAAGTATTAAAGGTCATCTGATTGAGACAATGGAAAAGTCAAATTATTTGTAAATATCTATCGAATTTTCCACCCATTATTTAACTGAACACACAATGTGCCACCAAGTTTTTGAAGTTTTTGTATAATTTTATGAGTAATCTAATATATCGAAATCACTTAAGTTCAATATTTAATTTCCTCTTATTTATTTATTTAGATGAATATCACTGGCTCCAATTGGTAAAACTTATATTTGATGTCCAAATTGTTCTTGGCCCATCTTGAGCCCATAATAAGTACTACCAACTCATATGATCCTTCCGATGGAAAAGTTACCATCCACTTTGTCGCACACTTCAGCCAAACTCATAGTTTAGAAAGTAGAAACCCATTTCTATGGAAAAACAACTTTTGCATATGAAAAGACCTTATGCATGCATGAGTTGTTATCACAAATTTTTCAAATTGTATGATCTTGGTGAAGTTTAAGGAGACATTAATCATATCAAAACCAGCTTTGTGAGGGCAATAAAAGCAAAATATACATGTCGCACGCACGATATATATCATATATGTACCCAGACATCTAAAATACATTCACTAGAAAAACTTTTAAAATTGTTGTTACGTACAAACACTTTAATTGGGCTTTGGTACAACTAAAAATATACTTAGCTTCTGCGTTCGCAGCACATCTTTTTTTATATACGTGTCGTCAAGCAAGTGTGAAACCGACTTGTTTTAAATAATGGTAGTTGACTCGAATGTCTCCCATAGTTTTTTATCTTATTTTATTTTATAATTTCTCGTGGATTTTCTATTTCTATTTAAAAAAACTTTTTGTTCCTATTCATTGTATATACCAAAGGTTCCATAAAAACGCTATGGTCTTTGTTAGCTGATAGTAATTTTTAGATAAATAATTTAAATATTTATAATTTGAATTTTTTAAAGAAATAATTTAACTATTTATAAATTGAATCGGTTGGAAAATATTCTATTGCTCATGATGATGGCTACAAATATATTCGAATACGCGATTCGGTATTTGTTCGATATTTTGAATTTTTTGTATTATTTTCGGATTTTAAGTGTATATTATTTATTCGATTTTTGTTTGGTTTGATTATTGGAATGAAAAATCAGTTTAAAACCGATGACACTTTTATAGATGAGTTTAAGACTGTTTGTTTTTGTCATTAGCTTGAATTAACTAGATTAGTAACTCTTTTGTGTTTGACAAAAATAAAATAAAAAATAAATAACTCTTTTGTGAATTATCTAGTTTTTTCTTTTAATAAATCGTCCTTACAAATTACAATATAATGGTTCCAAGTTGACTACACCGATATACACTTCATAGTCTTCATTCAGTGTCTTTTGTTTCTTAATGGCTACGATTGGTTTATTTTATACTATACTATAAATTATTATTTGTTGTTTTCTACTTTAACATTACACACAAATGTGAAGTTTAATGTATAGACAAAATTTTGAGTTCCAGAAGAATAAACTAATAATATTAAAATTAATACAAAAACTAGATTATTTTGTATACTATATATATATTACCGCTCAATGTTTCCTCTATAACATTTTACGTATACGTCACCAATCGACCCATTGTTTTCACAAGTTGACCCATTATGTTCTGTCTTTGTCTTAAATACATATATATATAGTCAAACAGATTTAACACAGAGACACACATGCATGTCTCGTCTTATAACTAAATGAGATCATGCCAGTCACCAGCAGCTCCGAAACCTTTGCTACCTTCTTCGATGACTGGCTTAACCATCATAGGCAACTCATCGAACAACTTGCACACTTTGCTGATGAAGCTAGCACCAGTGTCACTCAAGTAGAAGAAGAATCTCTTGTCACTAAGTTTCTCTCTCACTGTCTTCAATACTACCAAGAGAAGTCATCTGCTATGTCCGTCGCGGGAGAGGATCTATACGATTTCTTCTCCCCACCATGGCTCAACTCGTACGAGAAACTTATTCTTTGGATAGGAGGTTTCAAGCCAGGTATGGTTTTTAAACTTATAACCACTTCTGTTAACGACCTTACAAGCCACCAGAAAGACCAACTTGAGAGCATCCGGTTAGAGACTCAACGAAGGGAGAGAGCTTTGACGCGAGGGTTCGCGCTTTTACAACAGAGTGTGGGAGATCCACTTCTGATGGTTCGATTCAAGAACATAGGAGCGTTGAGGCTTGGCGAGAGAGAGCAGCCAGGAATGAAGGAGGAGGAGGCCATGGAGGTTTTGAAGAAGGAGATGACGGAGGTGATGAAGAACGCTGATCAGCTTCGGTGTGTTACGGTTGAGAAAGTGGTAGAGGTTCTGAATCCACGACAGGCGGTAAAGCTGCTGAGAGCCGTGGGAGAGTTTTATCTCCGGTTGCGAGATTTAGGTGTGCAGATAGAAACATTGCTTTGACAGGACCTATGTTGAGGATTGAGATGTGTTCTTTTTAGGGTGTATTGGAATTTTAGTACATTTTAAAAACATAATTGGAAAGATACTACAAATACTATTTAAAATTAGGAAAGTAGTCGTACGACCTATAATGTGAGATAGAAATTATGTGAAATAAAGATAAAGAAGAAGGGGGAAAATGACAAAAGGGTATTTTTTTTTTGTTCTCCCGATTTTATTTTTCTTTTCTTTTTTAATTATATTTTAAAATATTTTGTTTATTATCATCACCCCAAATTTTTAATAATCAAAATATTAGGGATTATAACTTTGGTTTTCAAAACTTTTTTGATACATAAAAATCCATGTTTTTTTCTCTTTAATTTGATATGCATTTTGCTAAATTAATTTTAAATAAATTTCATATTTATATATTTATTTGTACAATTTAGTATGTGTACAGACGTATTTGTACAGTTTAGTATATGTACAAACGTATATGTACAGACGTATTTGTACAATTTAGTATGTGTACAGACGTATTTGTACAATTTATTATGTGTATAGACATATTTGTACAGTTTAATATATGTACAAACGTATATGTACATTTGATTAACTGTACAGATGTATACGTACAGTTTATTGATTGTACGGAAATATAAAAATTTATACATTTTTATTCATATAGCTAGAAAAAGTGTACTTAAATATGAATATTTATGTACAATTGTACACTTATAAGTTGTATATATAATATTATGTAGTATTTTTATTATTGTACATAAATATATTTTTGTACAACTGTACAGAAAATATGATGTACAAATTATATTATATAATTATTCTAATGGCATATTCGTAAATAAGCTGTTTTCAGAGTCTTTAAAAGTCATTGAAATAGTATCAAATAGTGAAAATGTAATACTTTCCTAATTATAAATAGTATATGTATTAGTTTTATAATTATGTTTTTAAAATGTACTACTTTTCCAATTAATCCTTCTTTTTATTCTTAAAATTATTCAACGTATGTTTTGGTCTATAAATGACCATCATCTTCTTCCCCAAACTTTGTTTTTTTCTTTTTCTTATCTATGTTCGATTGTGATAAGCGTTATATAAAATTATAAACTATTGCTAATGGTTAAGAATGGCCACAACTTATGCTAAAACGATATTCATTTCTACAAAATTTATGGCATTCAAGTTGGTGGTAAATCCTTAATTAACTCTTGCTCTGGTCTATTACATGTAGGCTAAATTAAGATAATTTGCACTTCTTTACTATGCATTACGTTCCATATGTATAGAGTTTTTGGGCCTTGCTAAGGTGGGTTGACTTTTTTAAGTTTACTCACCTAAGTCTGTAAGCTTCTTTTGTTTGTCATATATCTAGGTCTTCCTTGTTGTGGGGGGAGAAAATTTTGGAGAACGAGCAGCCGATTGCATATAATCAATCGGATAAAGATTGTAAATTCTTAAAGCCTTTTGTGCAAAAAAAACTTCTACAATCATAATTACTTTCTTCCAATGGTTTTTGTTTCTCCAATGTTGCAATATCAAATTTAATTGCTTCTTCATTTTAATTAAAGTCAGTAATATCAAATATCATATATATTTGGTACTTTACTAGTGCCTATTGGAAGTGTGGCTCAAAGGACCTCCCTCTCATGAAATTGTTTATGTTAATTAAATGATATTTTATTTTGCAAGTCATAAACTAGTAATACTAATAGTATCTTTGATTTTCGTTGATGCAAATGTTGGGTAATCTTTGCGAGAAAAATAGACAAATTTGTAAAGGAATATTTTGAAAATATGTCACAACTCTCATGGAAGGTATGTGAGCCGTTTGCTGCAATTTGGGCCTAGGCCTAAACTTATATGGCTATGGGGATTCCTTGTACATGATAGTTTTTCACATAAAAGTATTTACATTATTCAACTTTATAAATTCTATTCATAGCATAATTGAAATAATTATGAATACTCCTCCAGTCATACCAGTGTAAAACTGGTATGTGAGGCGCAAGAAAACGGAAATTAGAATTCATCAATTTGATTCTAGAAACCAAATTTTTAATATTAAAAAATATCAATGTTTATATTATGTACCAAATAAACCAAACCAACCACATACAACAAAACTGAAATTTATTTATAAAATATTATTTTTTACTAATTAAGTACGTAAAAATATGTTCAAATATACTAAAGATATATTACTATTAATTAAGCTTAACTAATTATTTGTTTATCTTCATTAAATCTATCTAAAAAAAAAACACAAATCCATCGAAGACTTTAGAACTTAAATATAATTTGGTCTTTACAAAATATATATAATTCGGTTAATTTTGGTACTTATTTTAATGTCCAAAAAATCTGAAAAGCCAAATGCCTATAGTAGTAGTCATCACTAGCATGATATTGCGACTGCAAAAAATAAAGGCCATTTTACTATCTATGCATGCACTTGATTAAAAACTGATTCTCAATAAAATACTTTAAAAAATCAATCCAAATCTGCGTCGCACCAACAAGTACAAATCAAAATATAATTCTCGTCCATTATTATCATTAACTTTTGGGAATTCTCATTATGTTAACGGATGATAATTAATTCGTTGTCACGTAGTGCATTACTTAGTGCACGGTTGCTTCATCATGACTACATCTACATGTAAAAGAAAAAAAAAAGCAATATTGGTGTGGTTTGACAAAACACCTGTTGAAGATGCAACTCAGTTTATGCCCTGTCGGAAATAACCCATACGTTAATAGATGCTTCTTTGTAATGGTGCAGATTTTTTTGGTTAAGAGATTGGGAAACCAACCATAATGGCTCGTAGGAATCGTATTCGTTTGTGAAGTTTTTGGTGATATAGACACCTTCGATGAGACAAGTCCTTATGGCATTTATGTTTACAATTAGAATTAACTGAGTCAACATTGTTAACGTACGTTATGGGTTATTATGAGAACTAATTCGTTTCTGCTTTTTAGGTTTTGTCACACATAACTTTTTTGTCTGGCAGTATCGATCGGAGCATCTCATGCAGTTTTAAGTTCTTCTTATATCGGTGCAATGCATCTCCTACTTTAATTTGAAACTTTGATGCTTAGTTTTGTAGTTACGTGACACAAGTTGCGTCAAGTCAATATTATACTATTATTTAAGTTACTATTGAGTTGTTCATTGTATAAATAAACTTATAAACGTAAATAAACAACTCTCATACACATATAAAAGCGTTTCAAGGACTATTTGGAAATAGCATTGATCAATATAAAAATTTTAGGGTTCTTCCAAAATATTGAACTGACAGCATTATTGTGCGTTGGATGTAGGCAAATGGACATCGCATCAATACATTTAAAGAAAGGTTCGCATATATATAATGGCTTTTTATTAAATTTCCAAAAATGTACATAGTATAGCACCAAAACTTCATAAAAGGACATCGTCGCATAGAAACAAAAACTAAAGTACGTAAACATGCATTAAGAAGAATAGTTTCCAATACTACTAAGTACTAACATTCTATTTTCCCAATCACCAAAAAAAAAAAAAGTATTCGTTTGTTATGAATTCGAATATGACGACGATAAATGGAATATGATTTTTTTTCGAAAAATTTGATTTTTCCGGTCCGTTGTCCTAGAAGAATTAGGAACCATCTATTACAAATATGCTCTCTAGATTATGTATTTATTCATAATCGCTATTTTGGTTTTAGAAGTTATAGGGAAAGTTATATCCATTACAAATATTTTGCGTATTTAAAAATAACAAATCAATAAGCGTTTAGCAAAAATGGCATATTCGTAAGACTTATTCTTGAAATGATATTTTTTTTTGTAATATATCACACTACATTTATTTCATTAATTTCGAAGGTAGAAAAATATGTCTTATTTATATTTTATTTAAATTTTGGCGAAACGCTAATTTTTTAAAAAAAATATTGAGTATGGACAACATAAAAGCAACCAAAAAAACAAACAGAGAGCTTTTGTATTTGTCAGGAAAACAAGGGATAGTGTTCCAATTTTGAAACAGCCAGGCAAAATAATGGTATGATTCGGCCATAACATATCACATAAAGTGGCAGCAAACACATATAGTGGATTCTGCGAATTTGTTCCACAATTTTGTGGACAATTTTGTTATATGCTTTTTCTCTTTTGTTTTTGTTTTTGTTCTTTTTTATACACTTGTCTTATACCACATTCTCAATTTTTTACATACACATATTGACACATTTATATATAGTATTATTGTGCTATACATACCTATAATATTCACCCTTGTGATAAGTCTTAAACTTTGCACTTTTGAATAATTTCCATATTTTATTTGATTGTGGATGTTGTGTAGCCGACAGTATCACTCTTCTTGATTTCCACTATCAGAACAATTGTCTTCCTTATATGTATAAGAGAAAATAATAAGAAAAACGCACCAAAACTGACATGGCACTATGTGGCCACAACTTGTATATACTGCGCTTCTCTTCCACATTTTGCTTATCGACAACAATACATACATATATGTGATATGTCCACGATCAGACTAGAAGTATGAAGAAGCTGGTTTAAGTTACTCACTTTTGGTCCACTAATATATGTTTTGGTTATGTGTTTTACCTTCTCTAACTCTAACATGAAAGTTCAAGTAGCTACTTCACTAATGCACCAAAACTTGTGAAAGACCTCGAGAGGAAACAAAAATAGTTAATAATAAGTATGGTATTTTTGAGAGTTGCCCTAATGGTTGTTTATTTGCAAAAGCTACATGAAACTAAAATTGGAAGTTAATTAATCAAAAGAAGTGTTGAGAATATGTTATAACTGAGACAAATTTTGAAATAGGTAAAACTTTTTCTTACACTGACCTACTCATCAAGCTTTTGTATTTATATAAACAGTTTTGTCGCAATGGTCCAGAAGAAGAATAGATAGAAAAGAAGAAAATAGTGAAGATAGTTGATGAGGCAGCTTTTGTTTATTTGTCTACTTCTTTAT